TAAGGAGTATCATGACAAGAAATAAGCTTCTATAGCTAGAGTAAGTGAGGAATCCTGGTGACTCAGTGAGTAAGTTCTTGCCTAGTAACCATATGAAGGTCAGTCTATTCAGAAATGGCTAAAACAGTACATTTACAGAGAACTGCCAGAAATTTAAATTGGATTGAAAAGAGGTTGTGAAATGATGTCATATGGATTTTTACTGAAAGTGAGAATACCAGAACGGTGTTTATGCATGTTTTATTGACTATGCAAGGGAATTTGACAAATTATGACTAACATTAAGAAGAATGGGAATCCTAGAACACTTAATTGTGCTCACATGAAACCCATACCTAGACCAAAAAGTGGTTGTGTGAACAAGGTTCAAAATCAATACAAGTATGTATCAGAGCTGTACCCCTTCTCCTTACCTGTCCAGTCTGTATGCTAAGCCTATAATTCAAGAAACTGAACTTAATGAAGAAGAATGTTGTATCAAGATTAGAGAATGCCTTCTCTTGTCTCTAATCATTAATGTACAGTGTGTCAAGTCTGTTTTGAGATGTTCTTTATATTCAGGTGAGATATTCTCATTTGTACTTTAGTTTTTGTGATCTTTCTTCAGCTTCAACTTGAACTTGCATCTGAACAGTTGTTGTTGGTCTGCCTTTTAGGTGGCCTCTGATCTTGTTCTGACTCATAATGTTGTTTTGTGCCTCCGGGTTACTGAGTATGACTCAGAGAAACCCTATGAACAACAGATCTGAACCCTGGCTTATTCTGCGCTATCCTCGTCTCTGACATATTTGAACTCATTGCCACAATCACTGTTTGTCCATCTTGTTAAGGGTCATCTTCTCTTTTGCTGACCTCCCACCTTTCCACACCTGATGTCCCTTTCCAAGGAATACCCTCATCTAGCAGTATGCTCAAGGTATATGAAATGAAGCTTCCCTATTCTTGCCTCTAAGGAGCGCTCTGACTGCACCAAATCATTATCTCTTTGTTGTCTTTGCAGTTCATTAGATAGTCAGCACTCTGCTACAACACTACATACAACTCAGAGACACCAATTTTTCTTCTGTCATCCTTAATTATTGGCCAGCTTTCAGATCCATAGCAAGTGATTGGCCTGAATAGGCACACCTCAGTCTTCAAACTGTTAACATTGGTCTGGAGTACTTGGAGAGGTCCCTTAAAGCAGACTTCCCAGTATAATACATCTTTTGATTTCTTGACTACTGGTGCCAAGGGTGTTGATTGTGGATCCAACTAAGATGAAATTGTTGACAATTTAAATCTTTTCTCCATCAGTTCTGCTGTTACCTGTCTCAGTGGTGATGATTTTTGTTTTCCTGATTTTGAGATGCAATTCATGTCGAAAGCTGTAGTCTTTGATCTTCTGCAGCAAGCACTTCAAGTCGTCTTCTCTTCACTTTTAGCAAGCAAGGTATATCAGCTGCATAACATAGGCTGCTTATGAGTCTTCCTCTGATCCTGATGCCACATTTTTTCTTCGTAGAAGAAAAATTTGATTAGCATACTGATTGAATAGGTATTTAGAAAGGATATACCTGCCTTTCTTGACTTTGAATCATGTCGTGTTCTCTTGCTGTATGGACAGCAGCTTCATGTAGGTATAGGGTTCAATAAGTATGATTAAATGTTCTGATATTCCCACTCTTCTCAGTGTTAACCATAATTTATTATGCTCCATAGAGTTTAATGTCTTTGCCAAGTCAATAAAACACAAATAGATATTCTTCTGGTATGTTTTGCTTTTAGCCAGGATTTATATGACATCAGCAGTGTATCTCTGGAGCCACGACTTCTTCTAAATTCAGCTTGAACTTCTGGCAGTTTTTGTTAATGTACTGTTCTAGCCTTTTTTGTTTGATATTCAGCAATATTTTGCTTGCATATGATATTAATTTTATTCTATATTTTCTACATTCTGTTCGATTGTCTTTGCTGGCAATGGAAGCATATACAGATGTCTTTCAATCAGTCGGTCATGTAGCCGTCTTCTAAATTTCTTGACACAGATTGGTATGCACATACAAGGCTGCATCTGTTACTTGAAACATGTCGGTTGGTGTCGCATTGAATCCTGGAGCCTTATTTTTTTTGCCAATGACTTCAGTGCAGCTTGAGCTTCTTCCTTCATTTTAATTGACCCTTGTTCACATAGTTGTTATGTGTCCTTGAGTTGTCTGTTACTCATAGTGACCCTATGTACAGTAGCTTGAAACCCTGCCCTGTCTTGAGCCAGTCTCCTGAAATAGTTCTATGCTGGTCAGTTTCTTTTGGTACAGTAACTTTGTGTGTTCTTTTCAATTTCTTTTTGTACTTTCTGGATTATTTAAGATTTTGTCCATAGCATCTCCCAGTATTGCAACTTGAGGCTTGAATTTAATCTACAGTTCTCTGAACTGGTGAAATGCTATGTGAGTTCTTAGCTTTTTATTCTAATTCCAGCTCTTGACACATTCCAATATTATCCTTTGCTTTGTCTTTTCAAGTTGCCCATTGAATTTTTTTTGTACACAGGTAGTTTGTTTGATTCCTGTATATTCCATCTAGTGAAGTCCTCATGTATGGTTTTTGTGTTTCAAAATAGATATTTCCAATGGAAAACTTGTTAGTCATCTAAAATTGTATTACTAGATTTGTTAACTTTTATTACCTAGGCCATATTTTCAAACTGCTGATCTTTCTTCGTTTCCAATTTTAGTATTTCCATCCACAGTAATTATTAATGTGTCTTGATTGCAGAAGTTTGAAATTTTTCAATTTCTTCCTCAATGATGTTATTAGTTGGTGCATAAATTTGACTGAGTCATACTAATTCATCTTCTTTATATCCATGTGGATATTATATTGTCACTGACAGTGTTATATTTCAAGATAGGTCTTTAACTAATCGGCCATTCCTTTTCAGTTTGTTTTTCTTTGCGCTGTAGACTATATAATTGTCCAATTAGAAATCATCAGTGGCAGTCCTAAGATACCTATCTTCAAATATTCCAGTAATGCTTTACATCTTCCAGGGTTTTTAAAAATTCATATTTTGTCAGTTTCTCATTGTGATTATAAATGAATGTTTGTGGCTGTTTCTAGTAATTTTGTATCCTGCCACATCAGCAAATGAAGATCACAAAAGCTTTAGTCTATCTACATCGTTAGTATCAATTCTAGTCTGAGAAGGCAACTCTTCACCAGTTGTATTTTGAGAGGCTTCCAAACTAAGGGTCCTATTTACCAGCACTTAAATAGATAGTGTTCCGCTAGTCTGTTAGATGGCTCTCAAATCTCCTTTCACTCATGGTGACCCCGTGTACAACTAATTGAAACCTTGTCTGACCCATACTTTTTCACAGGTCATTTTTTCAGAAGTTAGCTAGGTCCTTTTTCCTAATCATTCTTAGTCTGGAAGTTCTTCTAAAACGTGTTTCCCATGGGTGACCCTCACACATGTGTTATAACAGGTGTTATAGCTTCCAGCAACATGCATGTTTCAGCACTGTGAGAAGCCGAGAAATGAGTGTGATTCTAAATAATACTAGATGATAACTAAAATTTTTAAATTGTTTTCTTTATGAATGCTATGGTTAGAGATTCATTATCTACATAATCTCTTTAGTAGTCTGTTTCCTAAATGTTTGATTCATGTTTCTTATAAATTATAAAATTAAGTGTATGGGAGTATGTTCTTAGGTCAGTTTTGGACTCTTGATAAATTAGCCATGAAGATGATCCAAAAATGACTGGAACAGCTCATCACTAGAGAACTGCCAGAAGTCCAGGCTGGGCTTAGAAGGGGTCATGGTACTAGGGATATTGTAGCTAATGTTAGATTGATCTTAGCTGAAAGCAGGGAATACCAGAAGAATGTCTATCTGTGTTTCATTGATTATGCAAAGGTGTTTGACTGTGTGGCTGACTCTGAGAAGAATGGGAATTCCAGAACACTTGATTGTGCTAATGAGAAACCTATACTTGGACCAAGAGGCAGTCGTCAAAATTGGGAAGGGCGTGCACCACGGATATGTCCTGTCTCCATAGCTTTTCAACCTGTATGCAGAACAGATTATCTGGGAGGCTGGGCTCTATTAGGAGAAGTGTGGCATCAGGATTGGTGGAAAATCTATCAGTAATCTGCGTTATGCAGATGACACAACCCTGCTTGCTGAAACTGAGGAGGACCTGAAGCGCTTGCTGCAGAGGGTCTTCAGTACGGATTGAGGCTCAGTGTCAAGAAGAAAAGATTCTCACCACTGGACCAATTTAATTGGCAGCATCAGGATGGATGGTGAAGAGATTGAGATTGTTAACAACTTTAGTCTGCTTGGCTCCACAGGCAACACTTTTGGCACCAGTAGCCAGGACATCAAAAAACGTATTGTGATGGGAAAGTCTGCTGTTAGGGATCTCTCCAGGGTACTGAAGAGCAGTGGTGTCACTCTGGAGACTAAGGTGCATCTGATACAGGCTATGGTCTTTGCAATCACTTGTTATGCATCAGAGAGTTGGACAGTGACTAAGGAGGATAGATGGAAAATTGATGCCTTTGAGCTGTGGTGCTGGAAAAGAGTTTTGAATGTACCGTGGACTACCAAGAAAACAAATATTCAACCTGGAGAGGATTAAACCAGGCTTTTCCTTGGAGGCAAGGATTCTGGGGCTTTGTCTGACATACTTTGAACATGTTGTAAGGAGGTCCTTGGAGAGGGACATCATGCTTGGGAGGTTGGAGGGACTGTGCAAGAGGGGAAGACCCTCAATGAGGTGGATTGATTCAGTGACTGGGGTAATTGGGATGGTTGTGTCAGAGGCAGTGCGATTGGCACAGGATAGAGCAGGGTTTAGGGTTTTTGTACATAGGGTCACTATGAGTCGCCAGCAACTCGATGGCACAGAACAACAACAACATGTATATATATACCAGTTTTGTAAACAGAAGCTAAATGAGTCAGTTCATTTTTATTTCCTTTTAATTAATATGTGTATTATTCCAGGTCGTCATTTTCCTAAACGTCCAAAGCATATGCTTGTAGTAGAAGCAAAGTTTGATGGAGAGCAATTGGCTACTGACCCTGTGGACCATTCTGACCAGCCAGAATTTGCTACTGAGTTAGCTTGGGAAATCGACAGAAAAGCACTTCATCAGCACAGGTGATGATTGGTTTTTTTTTTTTTTACTTAATTATTTGCATAATTACTAAGCAAAATTTAAAACTTAAAGCACCCAGAAGCTCTGGTAGCCAGTGGTAAGAAGCTGCAATCTGCTGCAATCCCGAAGGCACGTGTTTTGAATCTACCAGCAGCTCTGCGGAAGAAGTATGGGCAGTCTCTTGCCCTTTGTTTAACTGCCTCTGAAAACCCGCTGGAGGGTCAGCTGTGGGTCTCTTCTGACTTGAAGGTATACTACAAACACACAAAATGGGCAGTAATGCTATAATCTAATTCATATTTTTCCAGGTACATTTCTGTGATATTGACTATATTCTTTGAATTGTACAATCTCTTTCTCTTTCCTTTTCTGAGTTAGAGGATTGTTGTTCTCTGTTTAAATTTTACAGTTATCCTTTTTTTGCAGGCTGTTTGTTTTAATAGATTATAGAGTTTTAATAATAATAGTACTTTCTAAGGTTTTTGGTGTGGTTTTCTTTAATGTTCCAGAAATTTTTCAAAGTACTTTGCACTAATAACTCTTTTAAGCTTCAGAGTAACCCTAGGAAGTAGACATTATTATTTCCCTTGATTTACAGATGAGGAAACTGAGGCATAATAAGTTAGTTTGTCTTAAATCACTTTTTGACTGATGTGTGAGATTATATACATCCTAGAAGTATTAAACCATTTTATTTATCATGTAAATTATGTTACAGATTACAGCGTACTCCTATCAAACTTCAGTGTTTTGCCTTGGATCCTTTATCTTCAATCAAGGAAACCGTAGGTTATATTGTTCTTGACTTAAGAACTGCTCAAGAAACAAAACAGGTATTGTTTTATAAGACATTTTGTTAATAATGTTGGTTGTTTTCAGGAGATAACAGATTGGTGGTAAAAACATGGAGAATTGATCCTGATAGGTTATGGGTTTGAGTCACTATAGCAATTCTGGTGTTTTACATTATGAATTTGACCTAGAAAATTCTGCTCTTTAAATCATTCTTTTAAACTAGAATTATTTTGTAAAAAAAAACCATTTTTCTTTAAGCCTAAACCCTTGTTCATGTTGCTGCTATCTCCAGCTCAATATATTCAACTCTAGAGCTTTCTTTTCAAAAGGAAGAACTAGTTCCATTGTTGAATGGTAACAACTCTCCTTTCAGTTTTGCAATTTAAAAATACGGAAGTCTTCCTGGAAACCGCCATGTGTTTGCTTTTGTCGTCATTCTTTCCACCTAGTTATTTCCTCCTGACCTATCTACTACCCTACGTTTTCACAGCTGCCACCCTTTCCTAAAGCACTGTCATTTCTACTGCAGCTGTCACGTAGCCTTCTAACTGATCTCCCTATTTGCTGCTTTTTACGTTCTCATGTACAACTTAAAGAGTACATGAATTTACAGTAACATGTATGCTGTGTATATATTTCTCCTAGCCTCTCAGAAAGAGAGAAATCCTCCTGAATGTCTTTTCCCATTGCCCCAAAGATGAATCTGTGGCTTATAAAATCCGACCTGACTTGTCCTGGGGAGAGACTCAAGTAATTTCCTGCATTTTGTGAAAATTATAAAATTTTAATTATAAAATCATGGTTTATTACACTTTTAAGTTTAGTATTTTGTCACTGTTTTTATCAGCACCCATGAGTGTTATCAGCACTTTTATCTTTGACTATTCTGATACATGGCAGAGCAAAATGGAAATATGCTAGCAAGAAAAGGTATATTATGAAGTATGAAAAAGTAGGAATTTAGGAGCCTAAAAATTGGCAGCTTCTGTTTTTTTGATACTGTCTAAAGGATGAAGTGAGATTGAGGATGTAGGGCTAAAGGTATAAAAAAAATAAAGTTGTTTTCTTCTCTTTAATATTATTCTTACTGAGATATGGGTAAGATAGTAAGGAGAAGAAAACTACTTGGGTTTTTTCTTATTTCTAAATATAGGTGATTATACACATCATCTGTAAACAAATAATACGTGCCAGCACATCTTCCCCCCCCCCTTTTTTTTTTATTTTAAGAGAAATTCTTTTGAAAACTTTCTAAACCAGATTAATTTCTTTTTGGAAGATGGGGGAAAATTTTTTTAAAGAGAGAAAAGTACTGAGAGGCTACAGGAAATTTATTTAAATTTTTAAAGTTTTAAAATTTTTGGGTTTTTTTTGGTTTTTTTGCTTGTCTATTAACTGTTGTTATATATGTTATTGTGTCTATAGGCACCAAAATGGTACCAGTTACTGAGTAATAAGTACAGCAAGTTCAAGTCTGAAATACAGATAAATATTTCTTTGGAAACAGACACAAAGGCTCCAGCTGATAGTTTTAAAGCAAAGGAAGCACCTCCTCGAGCTGGAAGAGGTTTGTTCATCTCTAAGGATATATCTGTGAAATCAAGTTTTTTCACTAGCATTTTAGGAAAGGGAACTATTACTGGAAAATAGACACAAGAGTCAAAGCTGATTTGCTCTGTCTTGGGAGAGGTTGAAACCAAGTTTCTCTTTGGAGGGTAGGATTTTGAAGCTCTGTGTCACATACTTTGGGCATGTGACTGGAAGGGACCGATCTTTGGAGAAGGACATCATGCCTGAAAGGGTGGAGGAGAGGAGACCCCCATACCAGATGGATTGATATAGTAACTGGGACAGTGGGTGTTTGTGTGTTGGAATTAGTGAGATTGGCTCACGATAGGGAAGGTACATAGGGTCACTATGGGTCACAGGTGCTTCAACTTGGCACATAGCAACAACAACAACAGAATTAGAAGTTGTATAATGTTTGATTGATTATTTTTCATTAAGCCTCTTGTTTAGAGTCAATAGGACCTAGTGGAGGGCCTTTGTATTTAAAAGTCGGTTGAGCCCTTACTCCTAGTGTTGTTATATTTTGGAGGAACATTCTTCTAAGGGATATATCACTGGTCTGTCAATTTGCTGTACAGGTTAATCTGCTGTTTGGCTATAAGCTGAGCTCAGAATTTTAGCAGAAGCCTTTTTTCCCTCCAGTTTTTCTGGCAAGTTCTTCATAACCTCTTTTTTCCTTTTTCTAGCTTTTAAATGTTAAAGAGATCTCATCTTCTCATGTAATCTTATTCCTTTACTTCAATTTACTAAAGACCATCACTCAGACCTTCAGATACAAATATCTATCTACTTTCTGGTCGTCTTCCTCTGTATGACTTTAATCATTATTGTTGTTGTTGTTAGGTGCTGTAGAGCCAACTCTGATTCCTAGTGACCCGGTGTACAACAGAACAGAACCTTTCCAATCCTTGGCCATAATCCCTGTATGCTTAAGTCTATTTTTGTAGTCACTGTGTCAATCCATCTTGTTGAAGGACTTACTCTTTTTCCACTAACTTCCACATTTCAAAGTATAATGTCCTTTTTCTAGAACTGGCCTCTTCCAAGAAAGACCCGCTCTCCATCTTTCCCCTTAGGAGTACCATAGCTGTTTACAGGCACCATAACTTCAAGAGAGAAAATAATTGACTATTAGAGATGCTGTTTACCAAGATGCCATAAGTTATAATTAGTGAAATCATTGTAATAATTTATGTCATATTTCAGAGCTTTTATTACTATTGTTAGTATTATTTACAAATGTATACAGAATTTTTTCTTTTGTGAAATCATCTCAAACATACAGTAAAGTAAGAATATATTACAAAGAAAACAGGTTTTTGAAGTTTTTTCTTTTCTGTCATTTGAGAGGAATTTGTCTATCTAGAGTACTTTAATATGTGTGATACAATAGAATTCTCACCTTCTGTGAGGATAGACCAAGGTTCAGTTCCCTACCACTGTACCTCATATACAGTGGCACCCATTGCTACCCATCTGCCAGGTTTAGTTCAGACTAAGGTGGACTTGCTAGAAAGACCTAGCAACGTACTTCAAAAAAATTGACCCGTGAAAATCTATCCTATAGGTCACAATGTTATGATACATGACCAACTCACATAAGACTAGGTTTTCCATTTTGCATAAAGTCACTGTGAGTTGGGGGCTGACTTGATGTTGGCTAATCAGAGTGGGCTTGCAAATCTGTGTATTTCTTATATATCAAGGAGATAATAATCATGCATGATTATAAACCTTAAAAATTGAGACATGAATGTTCATAATATATTTGTGTGATGTTGATACACTATTATCATTTAGTCCTATTCAAGATTCACTATATCCTTATAGCCCTTTTCATAGCAAAAGGATCTAGTTTAGTATGAAATATGACTTTTAATTTTTATATCTCTGAATTTTCTTTTAGCCTAAAATAACTCCTCAATCTTAAAGTTTTAATGATCACAAGATAGCAGTTTTCTAGAATGTCTCTTGGCCTGTGTTTGTAGATATTAGATTGAGGTGGTACATATTTGGCAAAAATCTCACAGAAATGCTAACTCTGCTCTTCTTACAGTATTTGGTTAGGTGGCAGACAATTTTGATTTGCCACATTGTTGATGTTCATTTTAGATACTTCATTAAGTGATGCATAGAAGTGTTCTCAATTGTACAAATTTTGTCCTTTGTAATTAATACTTTTTAGTGGGAAGTGTTATGAAAATATTCTATTCTTTAAGAGAAGTAAAACAGAGCTTCTTTATTTTTTTAATACTAGTATATTTACAAAATTCGAATATTGTTTTCGATAACAGATTCTACCAATTTCCCTCTCCCTCCCCCCCATCAAATTGTATAACTCCATGAAAAATGACTGAATTCAGGATTGAGAAGGTAAAAGCATGCCTGAAACATTTTATATTAGGCTTCATCCAACTTTCAGTAGCAACTTACTTATATCCGTTTGGCAGTATGGACTCATTTCTCTTTTTTGTGTATTGGATTACGATCTTTATCATATTTATGGGTCTCAAACTTGGCCATCAGAAGTCTCTCCAATGTGCTCCTGGTATTTTGTTTCTTTGGCTTTTTTTGTTTGTTTTTTAAATATTGATCACTCTTTGAACTTTTCCTTGCTTTCTGATACAAGATGTTCCTTGCTCATCTTTGCTTTCACTCTCTCAGCCTTGGATTCAGACATTTCGCCAAATAGCCTTGCTTCCTTTTAGTAAAAACATTGTGCTTAGAAGTCAAGACCTGGGTGTTAAATATACTCATTACTGTTGGGATATCATTGCACCTTTGACTGGACAAGGTTAGGGAATATGTACATGTTTATACACACACACACACACACACACACACACACACAAAGGAGCAAGTGTGTGTATACAAAATGTGTGCATACAAAGTGTGTACACATACTTGTCCGTGTGTGTGTATGTGTGTGTAATATGCCATATATATACACATACCTGTATGACCTTTGATTTATCTATTCATCTATGTATAGACCAAGGTAGCTCTGGTAGCCCAGTTCACAGGAAGTTAAGCTAAGCAAAAGTAGTGCTTCTGGCACTTTGAACTTGTCTTTTGCCAGACTCTGAAAACCTGCTGGAGGGTCATCTGTCACTGTTTCTGACTCTATGGCAGTGAGCTATTTTTTTATATAAATATGCATATACAAGCAAGCTCTGGTGGCCTAGTGGTAAGAAGCTACACTGAAATACCAAAGGCACACAGTTCAAATCCACCAGCTGCTGCTGGGAGAAGGGCCAATCTCCTCCTGTTTGATAAAGTGCTTCTGAAAACTTGCTGGAGGGTCAGCTGTGGATCAGTTCTAATTTGGTGGTGCGCCACAATAACACACATAACACACACACACACACACACACACACACACACACACATTGTTGTTAGGTGCCGTTGAATCATAGCCAACTCATAGCGACTCTATGAACGAAAGGCCGGAGCACTGTACAGAGTTTCTGGAGGCAAGCCATTTCAGAAGTGGATGCCGCTCCTGCTTCCAGACTTTAGTCAGGAAGCTCCAGCAAACACTGTCTACCATGGGTACCCATTACCACGTTTGGCACATCAGTGTCCCATTGTTCAGCATCACAGCAACCACAAGTTACCTCTGTACAGCGATGCACAGACCAGTGCTATACCACCTAGAAGAATGTTTGACAGGAAAACAATTTGAACCTGGCCTGAGGGCTGCAGATTAAAATCACGTACCTTGGGCTTGGTAGCATAACTTTCTTTCCACTAGGCCAACATAGCTCTCTCTCTCTATCGTTGTTGTTATTGTTGTTAGGTGCCATCGAGTTGTAGATGACTCATAGCAACCCTATGAATGAAACAGTATGAATCCACATTGTCAGTTCCAGTTTGGATTCTACACTGTAAGATTGATTCTTGTTTCCTCCCTTTCCATAAATGTAACTCATTTCCCCAACAGTGAGCACTATTATTGTTATCTTCTATGCTCTACTGTTTTAATAGCATAATGGTTACTTTAGTGTACTAAGTGCTTTGCTCTCATTTAATCTTAGTAGTCCACTAAGAAATTGTATAGAAGGGGAAAAAAAGGATACTGAAGGAAGTAGTTAAAATTTGTCATTCAATTGGTAAATGACAGACCTGGGATTGGGACTTTGGTCTCTGTGACCTAACAGTCTGTGTCCTTAATCGTTGTATTATTTTTAGCCAGTGCAGAGAATACAGAGGAATGCCAGTGTTTCATTGTCTGTGCAGAAGCATTTGACTGTGTGGATCATAACAAATTGTGGCTAACATTGAGAGGAATAGGAATCCCAGATCACCTAAATTTATGCTCATGCAGAACCTGTACTTGGACCAAGAAGCAGTCCTCAGGACAGAGAAAGGAAATATTGCATGGTTCAGAATCAGGAAGAATGCATCAGAGATGTATCCTATTTCCATAACTTTTCAGTCTATATACTGAACAGATCATTTAAGAGGTGGGACCTTATGAGTTAGAACGTGGTATCAGGATTGGAGGAAGACTCACCAGCAACCTACATTATGGATATGACAGTCTTGCTTGCCTAAACTGAAGATGACCTGAGGTGTTTACTGCAGAACGTCAAGGACTGTAGTCATCAATACAGATTGAATTTCAACATCAAGAAAATGAAGATTCTTGTCACTGGGCCAATTTGCAGCACCATGGTAGATGGAGAAGAGATTGAGATTATTAATTTCGTTTTGCTTAGTTCCACAATCAATAGTCTTGGCCTCAGGAGTCAGGAAAACAAGAACTATCAGGGACCACTTCAGAGTGCTGAAGAGCAGTGATGTCAGTCCAGAGACTAAGTTGCACCTGATTTATCAGAGAGCTGGACAATGACTAAGGATGATGAGAAGAAGAATTGATAACCTTTGAGTTGTGGTGCTAGAGATGAATATTGAACATACTATGGACTGCTAAGAGAACAAATGCGATGTCCTAGAGAAGGTGAAGTCAAGCTGCTCCTTGATGGCAAGGATTTTGAAGCTCTGTCTCACATAGTTTAGCATGTTGCCAGGAGGGTCCAGTCCTTGGAGAAGGACATTATACTTGGAAGGGTAAAGGGACAGCGCAGGAGAGGAAGATCCTAGATGAGATAGATTGACACAGTAACTGGGGTAATGAGAATGGGTATGTCAGAGACAGATTGGCACGACAGGCAAGGTTCAGAGCTTTTGTTGTGAGTCGCAGGTGACCCAGCGACACATAACAACAACAGCGTAAGCATATTCTCTCTATAGCATTAACTCCAAAGGAGAGTTTCCTTGGTTTTGGGGTATGCATGTATGAATTTTTTTTTTAAATAAACTGTGACACATCGTCGTCAAAAAGAACCCCATATGAGAATACCCACATTCCTACATTCACTGACTGCAAAGTTAGATAAGGGTGTTTATGTTTGGTATGTGTGTGTATGTGTAAACAGTTTGAAGAATCCTGTCCTCCTCAGTCCCTTCACATCATCCTTATTAAGATTATTGGTTTGTTTCTTAAAATTATTCCATGACTTTCCCTTGTTCTTAGAAAACTATCCAAATGTTTCAACATGGTGGTGTAGAACTTCTGAATTCTTTTTACAGCTCCCTCTTCATGTCTTCCAGTTTATCCATCTTTTTTCTTTGACCTAGAACTCCATATCTTACTTTTCTTGCCAGAAGCAGTTTTTGTTTTGTTTTCATTTCTTCAGAGCCTTTGTATACACTGCTTTTCTGCTTGTAAAACTTTTTCATTCTCTCATTCTCTGTTTAGATGTCCAGCTTTTCTTAGCCAAATCTTGTTTCTTCAATTCCAAATTTAGATTCACTTTCTTTATGAAGCCTTTATTGAATGTTTTTTCATGTAGTATATTAAATTGAGGTTTTAAGATGATTTATGTTGTTTCAGAATATGACTCACATACGGAAAGAAAATGTTGGGCAAATAAAAGTTCTTCAGATGAAAAATCTCTTACTAAACTGCTAACATTATCCATAAAAACTGCCAAATAAATTGAAATGTGTGATTAAAAATCTTTCTGGATTTTATTAAACTTCAGTGTGATTTGTGTTTTACTAAGTACCTGCTGGCCTGTTTGGATTTGACCCCAAGGACATTGTGGCTGTGCTGAATGAGGAAGGAGGCTTCCATCAGATTGGACCAGAGGAGTATTGTACTGAGTCTTTCATTATGTCAGTGACCATAGCATTTGCCACCCAATTGGAGCAGGTGAGACTCTTCTTACCTTTTAGTGATTTACAAAGATTTTGAAAACTTTTTATAAAAAAGCCCATGTTGGATGTATTAAAAGATTAGAAAGTAGACTTTTATATCTATTTTAAAATTAATTTTGAAATATATTTTCCTTCATATCAAGAAACATTTTTATTTAAGGAAAACCCACGTAAAATGAAATAGAGAACTAAACTGGATGATCTTGGTATGTTAAAGAATAAATTATGTCTATCAGGTTATAGAAGAATGACCATCACTAATAAATTTCCTAAAGAGAAAATGGTTTTTTGGGGAGAGCATGTGACTTCAGTAATACTTTAATTAATGCCTTTTGGTTTGAGATTAGGTTTTACCCTGTTTAAAAACTAACATGGTAACCTATTACTGCTTCATAGATGTTGGCAGAAGACATGGAATTCTTGGTTTAAAGACAGAAGGCTTTATTACTGTTGGTACAATAAATAGCACGTATCGCTTGGATTTCCTCTAACTTCAAGTTTTTTTGGATTACTGAAGGTGGTTGCTTGTGTGTGTGTGTGTTTTGCAGCTGTGGAATACTGAACTGGAAAAGTCCAGCATTTTGTTGTAAGGAACTTCAGGCCTGGCCTTTGTCTTGGAGGACATGTCATCTCTTACAGTTACCAGCTGCATTAAAAAAGAAACCAAAAAAACCACCAAACAAACAAAAAAACCTGGGAAATGCCTAAATTAAAGAATAGCCTAGGCCGCACAGTCTTGATACACTCAGCAGGAATGTGTAGGGAAACTCGAGGATGTACGGCCGATGCATAACACAGTCACTCAGCTAATTCTAACCCATGATGACACCAGAGGACAGAGTAGCACTGTCCCAGATAGTTCCAGTGTTACAATCTTTATAGAAACAGACTGCCACATCTTTTCCTACTGAGTAGCTGGTAATTTCAACCCTTAACCTTTTGATTAAGAGCCAACTACCTAATGACTTCTACATCTCGGACCCTTTTGTCATCCTTATTCATTGTCCACCTCTCAGATTCATAGCAAGTGGTTAAAAAGACAGTGGCCTGAATGAGACACACTGCTATCCTCAGACTGACTGACATCATTGCTTTTCAGTAATTTGGAGAGGTCCCTTTCCAGTGCAATACATTGCTTGTTCTCCTCGCTGCTGGTTGGTACCAAGGGTATTGATATGGATCCAAGTAAGATAAAATCATTGACAGCTTCAATCTTCTCTACATCTGTGATGTTGCCTATTAGTTTAGTGGTAAGAATCTTTGTTTTCTTGATGTTTAGACTCAATCCATACTGAAGGCTGCATTTCTTGATCTTATATAGGCAAGCGTTGAATTCAAGTCCTCCATACTTTTAGCAAGCAGGTTACATAACACAGGTTACTGATGAGTCTTACTCAATCCTCATGCCACATTCTTCATAGAGTCCAACTTCTTGAATAATTTGCTGAGCGTCCAGACTCAGTAGGTCTGGAAAAAGAGGATGCATTTTAGGGGATTATTATTTCATTTTTATTTGAAATTAAAAAACTGAATCTTAGGGAAGTTTTACAGCTTCTAAGTGGCCCATTGTTTTAGACTACGGTATAGTCTATACATCACACTGTTGTTCCATATTGTCTTCTGTTGACTCTTAACAGTGTTTGGAATAAAATAGATCTGAGTTGAAATCTGATTTTCAGTACTACTCCATTAACTTCGGCACATTACTTGCCATTTCTGATTTTGTGTTGTCATAATACTGCCATCTTTGCAGGTGTACATGAGGAATGGGGGTGAGGGAAGTACCTAGTACATCAGGATAGTTGTGTGGCCAACAGATTGGACGAGGTCTATATTTGTTCCTATTCTCAAGAAGTGTGATCCAGCTGAGTGTGGAAATTATCGAACAATATCGTTGATATCACATGCTAGCAAAATAGTGCTGAAGATCATTCAGAAACAGCTTGGACAGTACATAGATAGGGAATTGCCAGAAGTTCAAGCAGGATTTAGAAGAGGCCGTGGCACCAGGGACATCATTGCTGATGTCAGATGGATCCTGGCTGAAATTGAGGAATATCAGAAGAATGTCTATTTGTGCTTTATTGATAACATATTTTACTGTGTGGATCATGACAAACTGGGGCTGACATTGAGAAGAATGGGAATCCCAGAGCACTTGATTGTGCTCATAAGGAACCTATACCTGGACCAGGAGGCTGTTGTGCAAACAGAGCAGGGGAGCACTACATGGTTTGGAATTGGGAAGGGAATGCATCAGGGATGTTTTTTTTTTTTTTTGCCTCTGTACATGTTCAGTCTATATCCTGGGCAAATTGTCCGAGATGCTGGACTCTATGAAGAGGAGTATAGCATCAGGATTGGAGGGAGACCATCAATAACCGGTGTTACACAACCTTGTTTGCTGAAAGTGAGGAGGATTTGAAGCACTTGTTGCAAAAGATTAAGGAATGCAGCCTTCAGTATGGATTGTGTCTCAGTATAAAGAAAATGATTCTTACTACTGGATCAATAGGCAGTGTCATGATGGATGGAGAGATCTTGTTTGGATCTACAATTAACATCATTGGTACCAGCAGTCAGGAAGTAAGGAGATGCATTGTGATGGGAAAATCTGCAGTTAGGGACCTTTCCAAATTATTGAGGAGTAGTGATGTCAAGTTTGAGGACTAAGATATGTCTGTTTCAGGCCATGGTCTTTCTAATTACTAGCTATGTATCTGAGACCTGGACAGTGAATAAGAATGACAGAAAAAGAATTGATACTTTTGAGTTGTGGTGTTGGAAAAGAGCACTGAACATTCCACAGATGGCCAAGAAAACAGATATATTTTAGAGAGAGTATAGCCGTAGTGCTCTTTGTAGGCAAGAGTGATGAGGTTTTGCCTTACATACTTTGGACCTGTTGTTAGGAGATGCTATTCCTTGGAGAGGGACATGATGTTGGGAAGTGTGGATGGTCGGCAAAGGAGAAGACCCTCAGCCAGGTGGATTGACAAGGTGACTACTGCAGTGGGCTCTTGTGTGTCAGGAAGTGTAAGGATGGCACAGGACAGGACTGGTTTCAGATCTTTTGTTCATAGGGTCACTATAAGGCATACTCAGTTCGATGACACCTAACAACAAGAACAACAAGCACATATTAGTTTGTAGGTGAGATATTACATTTTTATAGTAAAAACTTGATAAGGATAATTGACCTATTGAATATAGAGTGAGAACTAAGTAGTACAGTTCATAGTTCACTAAGACTAGTATAGTTCTTGGTAATAATGTAATGTGGCTTGTTGGAAATGGTTTTTTTGGCATACCTTTTGCTCTTGCCATTTAAAATTAAACCAAATTGACCATCTTTTTCTTGGTATTGTTACTTTTCTTAAAAATTTCATTACGGACAAGCCAAACATTTTAAAATTAGTCTCTTAATTTTTCCAAGCCAAACATTTTAAAATTAGTCTCTTAATTTTTCCTTTTCAGTCAAAAGCAATGGGAGAAACTGTCTAGCAGTAAATAACAAATAAACAAAACATTATCTCTACAGATATAAAAGGATTTATGTCATACTAAGTAGTATGACATAAGTACAAATTCAAATCTCAAGTTGCAATACTTAAAGATGCTATCGGCAAAATATTTAATAATCCAGGAAGCATCAAAACAAGATAGATGGATGAAATACAGAGTCACTGTACCAAAAAGAATTGACTAAAACAAAGCCATTTTAGGAAGAAATATATGATCAAGAGCAAATGATAATAAAGGAAGAAGTTCAAGAAACTTTGAAGGAATTGACAAAAAAAAAACCCCTAAGTGCCAGGTATTGATGCAATATTAATTGAGATATTTCAACAAACAGATGGCAGTTCTGCCTGTGCTCACAGGTTATGCCAAGAAATTTTGAGGACAGCTACCTGGCCAACTGACTGGAGGAGATCCATATTTATTCCTACTCCAAAAAAAGATGACCCAAGGACTGTGGAAATCATTGAACAATACCTTGTGCAAGCAAATTCTTGCTGAAGATTATCCAAAAATGACTAGAACAGTACATTGACAGAGAACTGCTCAGAATACAACCTGTATTTAGAAGAGGCCATGGCACTAGGGATGTTGTTGATGGCAGATGGATTCTGGATGAAAGTAGAGTACCAGAAGGGTGTCTATTTGAGCTTTATCAACTATGCAAAATTATTTGACTGTATGGATCACAACCTATTGAGGCCAACATAGAGAATTATGGGAACACCAGAACATTTGTTTGTGCTCATGTGCAACTTAGACCACAAAGCTTTTGTCTGAACAGAGCAAAGGAACACTGCATGGTTCTAAATCAAGAAAGGTGTGTATTAGGGATGTATCTTTTCTCTCTACTTTTTAAATCTATATGCTAAACAGATAATTTGGGAAGCTAGACTTTATGAAAAGGAATGTGCCTTCAAGATTAAGAAAGATTCATCGATCTTGGTTGTGCTGATGACACAACCTTGCTCTCTGAGAGTGAAGAGGACTTGAAACGTTTTCTGGAAAAGGTCAAGGACTGCAGCCTTAAACATCAAGAAAATAAAGATCCTTACCACCATGTCAGTAGACATGATTGATTGATTATTTATCTGTTTAACTCCCATCAATCATGGTAGAGGGAAGAGAAAAGATTGAGGTTGTTAACTGTTTCATCTTGCTTGGATCCACAATTATCACTCTTGGCACAAGCAGTCAGGAAAGAAAAGATGAATTGCATTGGGGAAAATATACTGTTACGGACTTCTCCAGAATGCTAACAAGCAGTAATGTCAATCTAGAGACTAAGGTATATCTGGTCCAAGACATAGTCTTCTCAGTTGCTTGCTGTATATCTGAAGGCTGGACAATAGAATTCATTGCCTTTGAGTTTTGGTGCAGCAGGAGAGTATTGAACATACCATGGAATGTTAAGAGAATAAATAGGTCTGTCCTAGGGAGGATGAAATCAGTTTGCTTCTTGGAGGCAAGGATTTTAAAGCTCTATTTCACATACTTTGAGCGTGTTGTGAGGAGGGACCAGTTCTTGGAGAAGGGCATCATCATACTTGAAGGGGTAGAAGGTCAGCACAGAAAGAGAAAAAGACCCTGAATGAGATTTATTGACACAGTGTTGCAGTAGGGTGAGATGTGTCAGGGACTGTGAGGTTGGCTCAGCATTTGGTAAGGATTCAGAGCCATTGTTCATAGGGTCGTTATAAGTTGTAGTTAACTCGATGGAACATAACAACATGAGTTAGTGGTAGGGATCTGCACTGTCAACCCAAAGACAAAATCCAGCAGCAGCTGTACAGGAGAAAGATAGGCAGCTGCTGATGCAATTTACTGTCCCAAAAAATCCTCTACAGGGTCAGCTATGAGTCAGTTCCGACTCAAATGTATCTAACAAAAAAAAAAAAAGCAGGAACTTGTGTGTAGGAATGAGTTTGAAGCAAGAGGACTGAATGATAGTCATTTATTTCTTCATTTTATAAATATTGAAATATGAAAATTTAGTTTCTAAATCTTAGGATAACAAGGATTTGTAATAGAATCTTTAATGATAATGTTGTTAGCTGCTGTCGAGTTGAGTACAACTCGTAGTGACCCTGTAAACAGTGAGTCTGAACCCCATCCTGTCATAAGCCATCTTCACCCTTCCTGACACACAGAGTCCATTGAGACAGTACTATTTCAGTCCACCTGGTTGAGGATCTTTTTCTCCTACGCCAAACCTCCACCATTCTTCGCATCATTTCCCTACCAAAGAATAACCCGTCCTAGTAACATACCTGAAGTATGTGAGGGAAAGCCTCATCATTTTTGCCTCCAAAGAGCTAACTCCACTCTCTCAAAGATAAATTTGTTTGTTCTTTTGACCATGGAATATTGATTGCTATTCTCCAACACCACAGTTCAAAGGCACTAATGATAATAATTATCTGTCATTCATTGCACTATGGAATACATGGGTTATTGTCTTAAAATTTTTATTGCTTTTCTGATTGTGACAGAAAGTTATCTCTTTGAATTTTATACTCTGCATGAATAAGGGAGAATGGTTAAGAAACTTTTTGTTAAGACGTGATAATACTAATGTATGAAATGACTTGGGTTAAGGATAGGTTTTGTTTAAGCCTTTTCTCATCAGTGTAGTAAAATCTTTGATGGTGACATGTCAGATAAATACGTAAAAATAAAATATTCAACATAAAATGCTTGTTTCTTCTTAAAAAATATGTGAATATAATATGATTCAAGGACAAGTTGAATGAAATGAAAAAAGTCTCTAAGCTAAACTTGTAAATTAACTAAACTAGTAATTTAGTTACTAGGATTGTGGTATTATTATTCCATCAGTTTTAAAATTTCAAGAAAAAATTATTCAAGTTTTAACAGATATTTTTGGAGTGCCTCAGACATACTAAGTACTTTGAGTGGTTTAGAAAGTAATTTTCTTTTTTTTTCTTCAATGTTTAGTTAATTCCATGTACCATGAAACTTCCAGAAAGACAACCTGAGTTTTTCTTTTACTATTCTTTACTGGGAAATGATGTCACAAATGAACCCTTCAATGATTTGATGAACCCAAACTTTGAGCCTGAAAGAGCATCTGTTCGTATACGCAGCAGCATAGAAATCCTTCGTATTTATCTGACTATTCAGTCCAAGCTACAGGTAAGTATTGTAGCATTTCAGAAAAACAAAATAAGCTAACCTAAAAAACACACAACGTATGAACATTAAGGAAGGAACTTCAATTCTATCCTACTAAACCTTAAAAAAGGTTCCACTTCTATAGTGGAGGTCATTTTAACACCCTACTTTTAATTTTTTAAGGCTTATCCTGACTTGAGCAAGTCATTGGCATAATAGTAACATAAGGATTTTCAGAAATATACTTCCTTTTCTAGTTAATTGAAGAAAAATGGAATATCTGTTAGCAGTCCTGTCGAAATTATGTGTATTACTAGAGCTGTGGGCACAATGAAGTTTTGATTAGTGGGAATGTCAAACATTGTCTCTTATGGATGAATAAAAGAAAACTATGTAGGTTTTGTCCTTCTTAAAGCAGGCTTGATCCACTGACTTGTCTTAACTGTGTTTAGACTTTTAAATACATTTAACATCATTTTGTTACAGTGGAAATAGGAAAAACCATGTTTGCCTCACTGTGTTTTTGTTTATTTCGTAACAAAGAACTGAACTACTTTTTAAATTTCAATTTTTAAAAAATATTTTCCACTATAAGAAAGAAGGAAAACTGTATTGGTTATTATCATGATTATTTTAATAAAATATCAGTGAAAATGTTTGGATCTTGTTTTAGGAGTTTAGTACTTGATCTTCCAAGGAACAGAAAACAGTAAAACTTTTTTCCTATCTTTGATTTTGCTTAAGATAAGCAATATCCTTCTCTGCATTGTTGAGCTTTGGAAACCTACTGGAGGGTTAGCTATGAGTTGGTTCCTACTCCATGGCAATGACTGACTTTTTAAAAAATTTAGTTTTACTTGTTATTACTAACCTTCACATTTTTTTTTGTTTAGTAGCTTTCTTGAACCTCTTTAGAGAACTTTATCAGTTCCTTGTCAAATAGTGTCATAATAGCAGAACTAGAATTGAATCTAAAGTCTACCAACATTCTCTTGCAGTCAGATTCTGCATGAGGTGATTTTAGCTTTCTTGATGTCTATCTACCTGTGCACTCTAAGCTATGACTGTATTTCCTTTTTTCAGCAAATACTTGTGTTTATCAGTGTATTAGATGGTGGATATGAATAATCCTAGCCCATTTTAAATTTTGGAGTTTATGATATAGTGGAGAAAACAGCTAAGTAAACAGGCAGTTACAATTCATTGAAATTTATAGTAATAGAGTCACCTGAATTTATAATGATTACAATAACTACAAAAAGGGAAATGCACTCTGAGGTTGTTTTAATGTACCATATTTTCATTCACTTTCTGACTTTGTACAGTGTTTCTTTGAATGACCATTTTTCTCCCAACCTCCACACATACTACTCTTCTTCCAGATTCCACACACACTACTTTTTCTCAGTTTTTCAGGTTATACACATCTTTTCTTCCCTGTGTGTTCCACAGTAATGAATGAATGAATGATTAATAAATATACAGTGACATTTGAAAAGTACCAAACCCAATCCACTACTGTAAAGTTGGCTCTAATCTGACTCATGGCAACCTTAAAAGACAAAGTAGAACTCTTCCACAGATTTCTTAACAGAAAGAAACAGAGTACTATGTCTTTTTCCTGTGAACTAGCTCACGGGTTCAAACTAGCGGTATTTGTCTTATCAGCCAAGTGCTTAATCACTGTTTCATCAGGGCTCTTCAATTTATATAGAGAATACCAATTTATAATGTTAAAGGTTTTAGAATAGATTTGACATAAGTACTTTTCATTCGTTCTTATTAACTGATGCCTGCAATGCTTGATATTTTTTTGTGGAATATGTTGTTTTTTTTAGGTACCATCAAGTTGAGTATGACTCATAGCGACTCTTTGAACAGCATATCTGAACTCTGTTCTATCCTGCCCCATCCTCACACGTCTGACACACGAAAACCCATTGCTGCACTGTGTCAGTCTACCTGGTGGAGGGTCTTCCTGTCCTTCACCCTTCCTAGCATTTCTCCAAGAAATAGCCCCTCCTAGAAACATGCCCTAAGTATGGAAGGTGAAGCCTCTCTATGCTTGCCTCCAAAGAGCACTCTGGCTACACCCTCTCCAAGACATATCTATCTGTTGTTTTGGCTGTCTGTGATATGTTCTGTGCTCTTCTCCAAAACCACAGCTCAAAGGCGCCAATTCTTCTGTTGTTCTTATTCATTGTCTAGCTCTCAGATGCATAGCGAGTGATTGGAAAGACTATGGCCAGAATCAGAAGCACCTTCATCCTCAAACTGACATCATTACTCCTCAATAATATGAAGAGGTTCTTAACTGCAGATTTCCCCAGTGCAGTGCATATCCTTATTTCATGACTGCTGGTACTAAAGGTGTTAATTGTGGATCCAAGTAAGATGAAATTGTTGACAGTTTCAGTCTCTTCTCCATTGTCCTACTAGTCCAGTGTTAAGAATCTTTGCTTTCTTGACATTGAGATACAATCCATACCAAAGGCTGCATTCCTTAATCTTCTGCAACAAGTACTTTTCAGCAAGCAAGATTGTGTCATCTCCATAATGCAGATTATTGATGTGTCTCCCTCCAATCCTAATGCCACATTCCTCTTCATAGAGTCCAGTTTCTCAGATAATTTGCTCAGCGTACAAATTGAATAGATATAGTGAAAGCGTACAACCCTGACAACACTCCCTTCTTAATTATAAACCATGTATTGTTTCTCTGCTTTATTGTACAATAACCTCCTGGTCCAAGTATAGTTTTTGCATGAGCACAGCTAAGTGCTCTGGGACTTCCATTCTTCTCAAAGTCAGCCACAACTTGTTATGATCCACATGGTCATTTGCCTTTCCATAGTCGATAAATCACAAGTAGACATTCTTCTGATATTCTCTACTTACAGCCAAAATCCATCTGTTATCAGCAGTGTAAGTGAAACCCTATGATTGTTTTCACACTGACATACTACTGACATAAGTAAGGAGGCCTCGGGGCCCTGTGTTAAGCACTTGACTGTTAATGAAAAGGATGATGGTTTGAAGCCAGCGCTACTCCAAGGGAGAAAGAGATGATGATCTGCTTCTGTCAACATACCAGCCTTGAAAACGACATGGGGCTCTTCTCCTTTCTCCTGTTTGGTCACTATGAGTCATAATCGACTCAGTGGCAGTGGTTGTGGTTTTCAGTTTCTTTGTGCATGTGTAAGTCACAGTGGCTTTGCTTCTAGCATACAGTTTACAATTTCTTGCTTTTTTCATGTCTTGTTTCTTGCTATTAAATGATTTTTCCTGCTATCCTTTTGAAATGTGTTTTTTATTTTCTTTTGTAGTTCCTTGCATGTGCCATGGTTGTTGAATGCAAACTATTAACTAACTTTACTATAGATTTTCAATTTATATTTTAAAATAAAATTTCTATTTTAAGGGAAATTTTGTTAAAATATTAGAAAAGAAGAAAGTCAGGAAATATGCTGGAGATAGCCTGTTAGTATAGGTAAAGTATACTTTGTTAACTGTGAAGATACAGAAAAACTTATTTGTGTATTTATTCTTTAATAAAATACAAACATGTACAATGAGATTGTAAAGTAACACTAGCTCCAAAAAGAGGAAAAGATGATAGTAGATGAGTATGTAGAAAACAAGAATTGAAAATGAGGCAATAACTTCATTATTAAGATCCTAATAAACTTTGATTTACCAGTTATAATAAGCATGGGTAGGGTTTTAATATTTACAGTCACTGCAGTACCTTGCATTTTGTTTTCCTTAATATAAATAGTTTGATAATTAACTAGCTCTACATATTTAAGAGAGAGGAGAAGATACAAATTCTTATTTTTCTTTTGTCCTTCCTTTCATATTAGATCCATCTCTGTTGTGGAGACCAGTCACTTGGAAGCACAGAGGTACCATTAACTGGCTTACTCAAAAAGGGAAGTACCGAAATCAACCACCGCCCGGTCACTGTGGAGGGCGCTTTTACCCTTGACCCCCCAAACAGAGCCAAACAAAAGCTTGCACCTATTCCTGTGGAGCTAGCCCCAACTGTGGGAGTGTCTGTGGCTCTGCAGAGGGAAGGCATAGACGACACCCAGGCAAGTAGTAACTCCCTTTGCCTAACCCCTGTCTCTGCCTGACTTCTCCAGTATTGCTCGTAGTAATATGCCGAAGTTGAGCGTCAAAAGAGTTACCTAATACGAGAAGCTGTTTGTTACTCTTAATTAGTGGCCTAAGTTATTTGTTACCTCCTTTCCAAAAAGGGGGATGTAGTTATACAGTGGTTAAAGTACTCAACTGCTAACTGAACCTACCACCTACTCTACAGGAGAAGGATATGGCAGTCTGCTTCTGTAAAGATTTATAGTCTCTGAAACTCATTGGAGGCTGTTTTGCTCAGACCTGCAGTGTAGTGTCTCTGTGACTTGGAATTGACCTGCTATCAGGGGTTTGGTTTGGTGAATTTCAGAAAGACCTTACTGAAAAGTACTATGGCTTCAATAGCTGTGTCTTTATATATTACTATATCCAGACATTCTTTCATGTACTGTAAATAGTTTTCCTTTTATTCAATGACTGTCATGGAAGAAAAGCTCTGGTAAAAGAGAACATTTTCACACCTAGTTCTTTGGGCATCTGCATTAGTGGTAACTTTCTGGTTGACACAGTTAAGATAAGGATCTTGATTCTTTATCACTTTATAGTACTCATACGGTCTTTAGCCAGTTTTTGTAACAGTGCTGGACATTTGCAGTGTTTCAAATATCTATCAGACATTAACACTACATTCCACCCCATTTCCAGATCTGTTGTTCATAGGGCATTAATGAACTTTGGTGTATTTTCTTTCAAAGTACAGATCTTATTTTTATGTAGTATATGAATTTAAGGTAGGAAAACTGATGTAAGATTTTAAAAGATAAATGCATATACTTATAGAGGAGAATGGAACAAATATGAGACGACTCAATTAAGATACCTGAAGTGTTTTTTTTTCTTCTAGTCATGAAAATTAGGCCTCTGTGTTACTCTTTTGGTGAAGAGTGGAGGGATGGTGCAGGAGAGGAAGACCCTCAATGATACGAATTGATTCTGTGATTGGGGTGATGGAAATGAGTGTGTTGGAGACGGCAACGTTGGCACAGGATAGAGCAGTGTTTAGGGCTCTTGTACATAGGGACTCTATGAATTGCAAGCAACTCGATGGCACATAACAACAACAAAAACCATTTCAGTAACAAAACATGCCTAAGTTATTTTCTAGAATACTTTTTTTCAGCCATTAATATGACTTTGGGTGTTCTCCTCTGGATATCCTATGTCCTTGTTTCTTCCTTTTTCTGGTCCTAAATGCCATAAGAAAGTTTGCAAATTATAATTAAAAAATAGAGTAGGAATATCCAATTTGAGAAAGCAAACCTGTATCTAAAATAAAAAAGTCAAGATTTTTGCTTAGTTATCAAGTTCTTTGCTTATTGTACTTTGTTTTATAATTGTGTTTAGTCTTTAATTGAATTAAAGACCCAGAATGAACATGAGCCAGAACATTTAAAGAGGAGAGTTTTAACTCCCATAAAGGAGATGACATCTTCTGTGCCAGAATCACCAAGTTTGTCCCCTGCTCCACCTCACAACCAGTCACCTCCAACAAAAGATGATGCAACAGAAAGTGAAGTGGAAAGCTTGCAGTATGATAAAGACCCAAAACCAAATTCAAAGGGTATGGCTTTGTTTTTGTACATCTTTCAGGTATCAGATTTTGTGTCTTTTGTATAGAACTGTGACACCTTTGATGAGTTCTGAGTGAAAGGTGTTTTTAAAGAAGCTGTGTGTAGTTTTACAAAAATTTCAATTTTAAGTAATTGCTATGTGTTAAACTTCCTAGTAGGATGCTTTTAACCGACAAGACATTTTCCATTTTCCTTAGACTATAAAAATAGCAACTTATTAAAAAGGTTTAGAATGTAGTTCTTTCAGTGTTTGCTTAAAACCATTAAACTCTCAAGTATTTTGAATCCATTGAAATTTAAGAGAAAATAGCTGCTAACTGCTTTGGATAGTAAAATAATTTTTTTTTTCATTCTAATAATGCTAAGAGAATGTCTGGGAATTCATACCTTTTTTAACTGATTTTTTCATCAGTTGCTTTTAAGTCTATAGCTATATTCAGAAGCATAAATAATTAGATGAGTGATGGATTAGGAATTAGGATATATTGGATGCAAATCCTTCTGCCACTGAGTGGCTGTATGACTTAGATTACTCACTAAGTATCAGGTCTCTACTACAAAAGGGAAGGATTAGCTATCTCTTTCCAAGTTTTAACTTTTCGCTGAATTATCTTTTTTTGGGGGGGATACCTAAAATAATAAAAAATTAGTTTTTAAAAAGTGATGTTTATGCCTTAGTCTCAACTATAATCTTTTGAAAGCTAAGTTATATGCTACCTTTTAGAAACTTAGAAATAAAATAATGCCTACTAGGCACCAGTCAAATGTTACTAACTCAGTACTATACCAGTATATGTTAAGAGTAAATGCTTTCTTTATATAGTTCTGGTATGAACTGTGTTCATTTTTCCCAATGTTCATTTTAGCCATGAATTCTGTACCTGCTTTGGTCCAACCAGTCACTGCATCCAATGCTTCAGAAGGCACTTCAGGACAGAAGATTGCTGTTCCAGCTACATCACATCACTTCTGCTTTTCAATAGATTTAAGAAGTGTCCATGGCTTGGAAGTTAGTTTTCCAATCAACTGTATATTAAGGTGTGATACGATTTTGTTTCAAGGTACAATTTTTTAAGGAGAGATTCCTTTCCTCATTTTGAGCAGTTGGAGAGGAAATTGTGACCAAATAAGTTACATTTGTTAAATCTGTGAACTCTAGTGCTGTAAGGCTATGTCCTAGAGTCCTTCAACTAAATCAGGCTGGCAGTGGTAATGTAAGAGGGACAGTTGTTGATAAGTAAGTGTTGGTAATTTATCAGTTTTTGTTCTTTTGTCCCATTAAGTTTGATTCTAACTCATATTGTTGTTAGGTTCTGTTGAGTGGAATATAAGTCATAGCAACAGACCTGAATCCTGTCCTATCCTGTGCCATCCTTACCACCTCTGATGCACTTGAGCCCATTGCTGCAGTCATAATGACCCATTTAACAGAGTAGAACTGTCCCAGAGGGTTTTCTAGGCTGTAATTTTAGCAGGAGTAGGTTTTTGAACCTTTTCTTTGACAAAGCCAGATATGGGTAGACTTTCTTCCAAAGGCTTTAATTTGTCTGTTCTGGTATTTAAAATCTGATAGCTCTTGAGTTTAGAGGGTGGTGTTCCTTGAAAAGATGCTATATCTCTCTCTGCTATCAGTTTAGTTCTGAATCAAGAGTGACCCTCCATCTGGATTTTGAGGCCTATAAATTGTAAAGGAGAAGATTGTCTATTTTTTATCTTCAGAGCAGCTGGTGGATTAAAACTTCTAGAGGTTTCCAGCCTTTCAGTTAACAGTATAACTGGGCTTTGGACCATCCACCAGATCTCCCGTTGAAAAGATGCTGTAGGTTAAAATAATGTTTTTATAAAAAACTCAAACAGGTTTGAGGCCTTGAACACTAATGAATAAGACCAGATGAGCTGTGGAGGCTATTAAGAGTATCATCCGTGAAGAGTGCAAAAGGTCATTACAAAGACAGAAGAAGAAAAGACCAAAATGGATATCAGAAAAGACTCTGAATATTGCACTACGGTGCTGAGAAGCCAAAGCAAAGGGAAGAAATCAAGAAGTTAAGGAGCTGAATAGAAAATTTCACAGGGCAGTATGGAAAGACAAAGCAAAATAGTACAGTGAAATGTGCAAAGAACTGGAGTCCCAAAATAAAAAAGCTGTGCTTGCTCAGCATTTCTTAAGCTAAAGAAATTAAAGAACAAATTCAAGCCTTGAGTTGAAATACTTAATAAGGATGCTGTGGGCAGAATATTGAATGATCCAGGAAGTATTAAAAGAAAATGGAAGGAGTATACAGAGTCACTGTACCAAAAGGAATTGGCTGACACCGAACAATTTCAAGAAACAGTATATGATCAAGAAGCAATGGTGATGAAAGAGGAAGTTCTGTTTGCTCTGAAGGACTTAACAAAAAATAAAGTCCCAGAAATTGATGGAATATCAGTTGATATATTTCAGCAAACAGATGCTGCCCTGGATGTGCTCACCAAGTTTTGCCAAGAAATCCGGAGGACAAAATACATGGCCAACTGACTGGAAGAGACCCACATTTATTCCTGTTCCAAAAAAAAGGTGACCCAACAGAGTGTGGATATCATCAGAAAATATCACGCATATCACATGCAAGCAAAATCCTACTGAAGATTTTCCAGAAACAACTAGAACAGTACATTGACAGAGAACTACCAGAAGTACAAACTGGGTTTAGAAGAGGCTGTGGCATTAAAAACATTGTCACCCATGTCAGATGCATCTTGACAAAAAGCAAAGAGCACCAGAAGGATATCTTATCTGTGTTTCATTGATTTTGTAAAGGTATTTGACTGTGTAGATTACAACAAATTGTTGTTAACCTTGGGGAGAATGGAAATCTCAGAACACTTGATTGTGCTTATGTAGAACATATATTTGGACCAGGGAGCAGTTCTCAGGACAGAGCAGGGAAGCACTGCATGGTTCAAAATCAGGAAAGGAGTGTGTCAGGGATATGTTCTGTCTCCATACCTTTTCAATCTGTATGCAGAACAGATCATTCCACAGGCTGGGCTTTGTGAGTGTGAATGTGGCATCAGGATTGGAGGAAGATTCATAAACCACCTACATTATGCAGGTGATATTCCCTTGCTTGCTAAAACTGAGAAGGACCTGAAGCGCTTGCTACAGAAGGTCAAGGACTTCAGTATGGATCGAAGCTCAACATCAAGAAATCAAAGATTCTCCCCACTGGGCCAGTTGGCAACACCATGATGGATAGAGAGGTGATTGAGGTTGTTAACAGTTAAAGCTTGCTCAGCTTCTTGATCAACACTTTTGGCACCAGCAGTCAGGGAATCAAAAGACGAATTGCATTAGGTAAATCTGCTGTCAGAGACCTTTCCAGACTACTGAGAAGCAACAGTATCAGTCTAGATACTAAGGTGTGCCTGATCCAGTCCGTGGTCTTCTCAGTTATTTACTGTGCACCAGAGAACTGGATAATCACAGAGGAGGACAGAACTATTGATGCCTTTGAGTTGTGGTTCTGGGGGAGAGTCTTCAATATACCATGGACTGCCAAGAGGTCTGTCTTCTTGTTGGAGGCTAGGATTTTGAAGCTCTGTCTCACATACTTTAGGCATGTGGCCAGGAGGGACTGATCCTTGGGGAAAAGGACATCATGCTTGGAAGGGTGGAGGGACAGCACAGGAGAGGAAAACACTGTATGAGATGGATTGATCAGTACCTAGGGCATTGCGGGTAGGTGTATCAGAATCATTAAGACTGGCTTAGGGACAGGGCAGGCTTCAGAGCTGTTGTATATACAGTCGCTATGAGTTGCAGGCAACTTGATGGCTCATAAGAACACCACCATTCTATAATTGAAAGTAATATTCTTAAGACCTGTATTTGAGAGTTGTGACTCCTAAAACCATGCTCAATTATTATATGTGATACAATATATGAACTATAATTATAGTCAGTTAAATTCTTTATATTTTGTTTTTAATAATATTACAACTTCATAAACTTTACAATTCAGTAATTTACTTTGGTTTGTCCTCTCCAGCTTCCTTTGCATATTAAAACAAGTATTACAATATAAAGAGCTTAATCTTTCTGTGATTGAAGTAAGAAACATGCTCGGTCATCTTGGATTGTTGTTTCCAGGAACCTAAACAGGAATACTTTGTTCCTGCTATTCTCTGAAATATTCTTGTCTTTCAGTTGTATAAAATGCTTGCATTCATACTTGGTATCTTGTTTTTCCACTTTTTTTATTCCTTATCTTCTGTACTTGAAATTCTCAAATTTTGGTTTAATATAATGGACAAAGAGCCTACATGCTGTGTGTAATTCAGAATTCTTAGTCTGTATGTTTGCATATTACCTGGTGTTCAGGGTTGAAATCATGGTATAAATGTTCTTTTATTTCAAAATTAAAGACCAAAATAAACATAAAAGGTTTTTTGCCCTCATACAGGTGGCTTTTCTTAATAGTTTTATCTGCCATCTTTTAAAACTACTTTTCCAAATACAGTTATCATTTACTCATTGTTTTGGTACTACTTATTTTACAAATAGAATTGCTACTACTTAGTCACCATTTTGGTACCACAGTTGTTACTACTTACTCACTGCTCTTGGTTCCAGCAGTCAGGAGATCAGGAGACGTACAGCATTGGGAAGTCAGCTGTGAGAGATCTCTCCAAAGTACTGAAATGTAGTGTTGTTAATACAAAGACTACTTTGCTCGGCTCCACAGTCAACACTCTTGGTACCAGCAGTCAGGAAATCAAAAAGCATATTGCGATGGGAAAGTCTGCCGTTAGGGACCTCTCAAAGGTACTCAGGAGCAACAGTGTCTCTCTGGAGACTAAGGTGCGCCTGATACAGGTCATGGTATTTGCCATCGCTTGTTATACATCAGAGAGTTGGACAATGACAAGGGAGGACAGAAGGAGAGTGGATGCTTTTGAGCTGTGGTGCTGGAGAAGGGTACTGAATGTACCATGGACTGCCAGGAAAACAAACAGATTCATCTTGGAGAGGATTAAACCAAGCTGCTCCTTGGAGGCAGGGATTCTGGGGCTTCGTCTGACATACTTTGGACATGTTGCCAGGAGGGACGGGTCCTTGGAGAGGGACATCATGCTTGGGAGGGTGGAGGGACAGCGCAGGAGGGGAAGACCCTCTATGAGATGGATTGATTCGGTGACTGGGGTAATCGGGATGGGTGTGTCAGAGGCGGTGCGGTTGGCGCAGGATAGAGCAGGGTTTAGAGCTGTTGTGCATAGGGTCGCTATGAGTCGGAAACGACTCGATGGCACATAACAACAACAACAAGGTGTGCCTGGTTCAGGTCACAGACTTTCCAGTTACCTGGAGTGCACCTGAGAGCTGGACAATGAATAAGGATAATAGAAGAAGAATTGATGCCCTTGAGTGGTAGTGGAGAAAAGTCTCAAAGGCTGCTGAAAGAACAAACTGATATGTGTTGGAGAAAGTGCAACCAGTGTTCCTTAGAGGTAAAGTTGGTAAAGCATCATCGCACATATTTTGACCATACTGTGTGGAGTGGGTATTTCTTGGAAAAGGACATTATGCTTGCAAAGGTGGAAGGTCAGCAAAAGAGAAGACAACCCTTAACAGGATTGATTGGCACAATGACTGCAGCATTGAGCTCGAGTTTATCAGAGATGATGAGGGTAGCACAGTTAAGGTTCAGATCCATTGTTCATAGGATTGAAATGAGTCATGATCAACTTGACAGCACCTAGAACCTCTACCCATAGGGAGAGAGCTGTGGTGGCTTAGTGGTAAGAAATTGCACTGCCAACCAAAGACACACAGTTTGAATCCTCTAACTGCTCCATAGGAAAAGAGGAGCATTCTTCTCCCATGCAGTTAATGGCCCCTAAATACTCACTGGCAGGTCAGTGGTGGTTGGTTTGATTTGATAGTACATAACAGGAACAACAAGGTGAATACAAATGGTAGTTCTTTTAGAAAAAAAGAATTTTTACTGTTAGGATTTAAATTTTTACTTTCTTCTGTAACAAGATACAAGGTAAATATGAAGCAAACATTTTAAAGTCTTTATATTTTACTTTAAGTAGAAAATAGTTCTATAGCACATTAGTTTAATCTGATGTTATTTTTATGATGAAAAGAAGTCTTACATAATGCTTTGATTCACCAGATTACAATTGAGTTGCTTTTTCTTGATTTTCTTTTCAAAGACAGTTAACCATATTTGCACATTTTGCAACTGATCAAGAGCTTTGGGCCTATAAAATCATGTCTAAAGACTGTTGTTTCTGTGTACCATAGAGTCAGAACTGACTGATGGCTGACCCTCACAGAAAGAGATTATGCATCCTTCTCCCATGGAGAAGCTGGTGTCCTCAAACCACATGCCTTGAGTATTGCAGCACAGCTTCTTGCCAGTAGGCCACAAGAGCTCCCTAATAAAGACTAGATTTGGAAATTAAATTCAACAAGCATATTTTGGAATGTTAACTGCGTTGCAGAAACTGCCCTTTCTCCAGGAATGCTAGGATTATAAAGACATGTACTCTCAGAAAACCTAGAAAAATGGCACCTTGCTTTTTTAAGAGTCAGTTTTACTTTAAAATCTTTTGATTGTGTCAGGGTGCTTTTGTTTTTCTTTCTGATGTCCTGTGCCTTCTGAATACCAGAATTCTCCTTTTGAAGATTATCTGTAAAGCTACTTTAAGCACTACTGTTTTCAGGTGCTGTTGAGTTGCCAGCAGCTCATAGCATCCCTGTGAACAACAGATCTGAACCTTGTCCTGTTTCATGTCATCCTCATCATCTCTGATATACTTGACCCCATTGGTATAGTTAGTATAACAATCCATCTCATTGAGGATCTTCCTCTCTCTTGCCGACTTCGCACTTTTCCAAACATCATATCCTTTCCACAAACCAGGTGCACCTTAACAACCTGCCCAAATTATGTGAGACAAAGCTACACCATTCTTACTGCAAAGGAGCATCTTGGTTGCACTTTCTCTAACACATGTTTGTTTTTTCTTTTGTCAGTCCATGGGCTATTCAGTGCTTTTCCCCAAAACCACAGGTCAAAAGCTCTGTTAACCTTAGTCATTTATCAACTTTCAGATGCATAGGAAGTAATTGAAAAGACCACAACTTGAATAAGATATGCCACGACATCAACAGATAAAACTGACATCATTGCCTCTTAACACCTTGAGGAGATATTTCACAGATTTATCCAAATAAGATGTCTTAATTTCTTGACTGATGGTGCCACAAGTGTTGATTGTGGATCTAAGCAGGATGAAACTGTGGACAGCTTTAATCTTCTCTCCATCTGACATGTCTTATTTCAGCTCACTGGTTTTTTTAATGTTGAAATGTAATCTGTGTTGAAGGGTATATTTGATCTTTTGCAGCAAGGATTTCAAGTTCTCTTCACTTTTGGCAAGCAAGATCAGTCAGCTAATTCTTTCTTGTATAATGACTATTTTTTTTTTAACAAGACAATTGCTAGTTCTTTAAACTCAAATCAACATGTCCGTGTATATTCATGTTTATTAAGGTTCTTTAAAACTTCTTGAGTTAATCATTTTTAAGATTGTTGTTGTTAGATGTCATCAAGTCTACTCGCACTTATAGCGACAGTACAGCCAACAGATCCAAACCTTGCCCTATTCTGCAACTCTCCTCACCTCTGTTGTGCCCCAGTCCATTATTGTGGTAACTCTGTGTATTCTTTGCATTTTCTTTTGATGTTACCTGGATTATTCAAGATTTTGCCCATAGTATCCTTCAGTATTACATCTCAGAACTTGAGTTTTTAATTTCTTTCAGCTTGAGAAATCCTGAACGAATTCTTCCTTTTTGTTTTCTAACTTCAGCTCTTTGCACATTTCATTATAGTCTTTTGTCTTCTTGCACTTAGCTTTGAAATCCTCTGTTCAACTGATTTACTTCTCCGTTTATTTCCTTTGTTTTGTCTTCTCAATGTTTTAGTGCAATTTTCAGAGTCTTTTCTGGCATCCATTTTCTTTTATCTCCTGTCTTTGCAATGACCTTTTGCTCTCTTCCTGGATGATATATTTGATGTCATCTACAGCTCATCTTGTATGCAATCATTCTTGTTCATTGTCTCAAATCTATTGAGTTGGTTTTTAAATTCAGGTAAGATGGACTCAAGGTCGTGTTTTGGTTCTTGTGAACTTGTTTTGATTTTCTTCAGCTTCAGTTTTTCTTTCAAATGAGTCTGTTTCACAGTCATTGCCTGGCTTGTTTGTAGCTAGCTGTTCTTTGCCATCAAGTCCACTGTGACTCATAGTAACTCTATGAACAGAGGCCCTGAACCTTGTCCTGTGTTGAGCCAGTTTCACCATCTCCTATACATCTGACCTGACAAGTAATATGCAATAAGGTATTTTCTTTTATTATTACTTTAATTTTTATTTATAAAATTAAAGCAAAGATCACTCTATTTCTTGTTTAAAATACTTTAAGTTAAGAAATTTAGGACATTCAAAAAAGTTTCTGTAACAATGAAAATACTTACATAATTTTTTATTTACTTTTATTATTCATTTAAATTTTTTATTATTATTTAATAATTTTAAAGTTACCCTGTTCAAAATGAATGTTGAGTTGAAAGGATGTGGTTTTGTTCTTTGATTGGAATGTTTAAATTCATTCTTTTTTAAAATACGAGACTCTGAATCTCATCAGGAAGCTGTAATAAGACTTTGTCATTCTAGGTACTCATACCCATTCTTTGGAAGTGCAGCTCCTATTATGACTAATCCTCCTATAGAAGTTCGGAAAAACATGGAAGTGTTTCTACCTCAGTCTTACTGTGCATTTGATTTTGCAACTATGCCTCATCAGCTGCAAGATACTTTCTTAAGGTAATATATACAGTTTTTCAGATTTATTGTTTTCTTATGTAATTGCTGCTGTTAGGTGCAGTTGAATTGAGTTGACTCATAGTGACCCTATGAACAATGAATCTGATCTTTGTCCTATCCTGTTCCATCTTCATTATCTTTTACATACTTAAGCCCGTTGCCTCAGTCACTGTGCCAGTACATCTTGTTGAAGGTCTTACTTTTTTTGCTGACCTTTTTAAACATGATGTCTCTTTCCAAGGAATGGTCCCTCCTCATAACATATCCAAAGTATGTGAAATAAAATTTCACCGTTCTTACCTCTAAGGAACACTCTGGTTGCACTTTCTCCAAGCTGTCTATAAAGAAATTGTTTGTAGTAGGATTTGAAAATGTTTGTGTGTTAAAAATATTAATTACCGTAAGTTTAACTCTAAAGCACCTTAAGCATTTGAGATTCAGGATGCTTTCCCTATAGTTTTATGTTTTTGAAGATCCTTTTCAGATTCTCCTCTGTCTTTTATCATTTGAATTAAAAATAAAAAAATCTGTAATAGGAGGCTTTTTCATAATGTGATATATGATTATAAATAACTAAGAACTATGAATTTTTACTGTTTCGTAGAATGATTATAGTATAATTATGTTTTCTATTTTTTATTTTATAAAATGAAAATATTGAATCAGCTGTCTGAAGTTTTTATAATGTTTATTTGCTTTCCCAGGTCACAAATTAAATTTAGCTATTATTTTAGAGGTAGAAAAAAGGAAGGGTAATGAAAAATTATTTATGAGAATAATAGTTTTTGGGGGATTTTCTTAAATAAGGAAGGGTCTAGAAAATACATTAGTATTCCTGCTTGTTACAAAATTAGATCCTTAGCAATTGTGTATTAGGTAACAGTCTAGGTAACGAAGTTGTCTACTGACTTTACCATCTTGGCTTTAGTAGGTATAGAAGATAATGGATTACCATCTTTATTGCTGTAATGTATTAAGCATTATATGCTAGTAGAATCTAGTTCATTGTTTTAGGTGGAAAGTATTCTTTGGGTTTCCATTTTGAATGTGTTTGGACTAAACATACAATAAACTACTGATTGATGTCTGTAGCAAAAAAAAAAAGAGATTAATTAAAAATGCTCAAGAAAAATTTAGTTCAGAGTTGTGCTTCTCCCTTCTTTAGGATTCCATTGCTGGTTGAATTATGGCACAAGGATAAAATGAGTAAAGATTTACTTCTTGGAATTGCAAGAATCCAGCTCTCCAACGTTTTATCTTCAGAAAAAACTCGCTTTTTAGGTGCTGATGGTGAACAGTGCTGGCGTCAAACTTTCAGTGAAAGTGTGCCTGTTATAGCAGCACAAGGGTAATAATACATTTTGCACAATTGGTGTATTCTTTTGAGTAATCTAATGGTTCTGATTAGAACACAAGTGTAACCACAATCTTTCCATTGTTTTCTAACTTCTCTCTATGAGATGTGAGAACTAGTTTGCCCTCTGTTTTTTGGTACTTGTTTACCCTCCACAAAATAGAGTCTGCAATAGTGTTTATTTAGATTACTGACTTCCTTTCTCCTCTATTCTTAGTAGTTTGACAATTTTAAATTCGCCATCTGATTTCTTAGTTATTAGTAATTCAGAGTTGAATTTATGTGCTTGTACATTATTATGCTTTGGACTATGACTTTTTATTCTTGACATATTTAAATTTCTACTTCAATTCTCAGAGCCATGTTTTTTCCCAATGCTTTCAGTGCACCTTGGACTTCCTCCTTCAGTACCTTGGTTCTTGATCACATGCTACCTTCTGAAATTGCTGGATGTTAAACTTTTCCTTTATTTATTTACAGTGACTGTGTTTTCATTTCTTCTTTTGATGCTTCCTGCTTTGCTCAACAGTTTGCCCACACAGTCATCATTCTGTTTTGCAACCTGAGGCTTAAATTTTTTGTTCCATTTTTTTTTCAGCTTGAAAGAAATAGTTTTTTCCTTTTGGTTTTCTTACTCTAGGTCCTGGCACATTTTATTGTAATGCTTGTCTTTTTGAGACACGTTTTCAAATATTTATTTTAGCTCTTTTATTTCATTGTTTCTTTCTTTACTGTATGTTTTAGAGCAAGTGTCAGAGTTTCTTCTAACATCTATTTTGATCTTTTTCTTTCCTGTCCTTTTAATGACCTTTGGCTTACTTTGTGTATCCTCTAGTTTCACACTTCATATCTTCCACTTTCCAATTATTACTGAAGGTGTCTAGCAGTTTGTAAAGAGGGGCGGTGGCAATATTTGACCTTCGCAAGGGATGACAGTGTCCACCCACATTATGCAAGCACAGCATTGTTTTCTATGCAGTCAGACATGTCTCCATACTTCTGCATCTATTTTTACCAATTATAGTACCTCCAGAATTCTCGCTGCTCTGCTACTGGTTTTGCTAATCTATTAGAATGGCCACATAGAACTCACAGAACCATAGTAATCATGATTATGGAGTCTGTTAGAGAAATTTACAAGTTACAGTTTAGGTTGGCAACAGGACCCATTTCTTCAATCAGAACAGCTTCTGAGGCGTGCTTGAAGACCCTTTAACCTTTAACCTTGAGGCTTTTGGTCAGTTTTAGACAAAGATCTCATAATCTTGCCAATTATGGCACCTCTCTCCAGGTTCTCCTGTAAGCTTGTGCAAAGATGGCTGAGTTTTATCTATGGGGCAACAGTCCCAGGACTGTTCTCTCTTACACCAATCTCTGGTTCTTTGCTCTGTTGCGGTGTATCAATCTTGGTGTCTCTCTGTCTCTCACAGAAATTACCCCAAAGGATATTCTCTACTTCTTTCTTACTGGTAGCAAGTGTCTCCCCTTTTTGCCTTTATATGGGAACACTAATCAATTGCATAATTAGCAGTTTATAGACCTTATTTGCATGTTCCCAATCAGCCATTTGAAAGTGACCAAGCCATTTTGGACAGTAAACTCTTTGTACCACATTGTTTATTCTCATTTAGAGTCTTGTAACATCAGAAAACTGTCTTGTCTATATCAAGGTTGACTTGACTTTAAGAGGCAGCTTTTCCTGAGCCATATTTTGAGTGCTGCTCATCTTGAGGGCTATCTGAAGAGCAGAAAATGGAACATAAAGGCCAGGACCATGAGTGTCTCTCTGAAAGAGCCAGAGGGAGTGAGAATAGCCCAGCCCCTCAGAACAGAAAGCAGATAAAGAGCCAGTAGCCCAACCCTGTGGTACTTCTGGAGCCACAGGAATAGCAGGAGGTTTGTTATTTCTTATTGATTCGGAGTTGCAGTCTAGGAATGGAGTTTATTAGGGAAGTTGGAGAATGGGGGAGACAAAGAATATCAAGCATTTTAAGTCTGGGTGTAGCCCAAGCTCCAAGGCACAGTTCCTCAAGTAGTCTAGGTTTTGGTTGAACAGTCAAATCATCCAGCAAGTTTTGACTTAGAGAAGTTAAAAGTCAGTTTCTTCTTCAAGCATCCACAAGAATAGGAAAAGCTTTAACTGTGGCCAGCACTAATACAAGACACCTCAGGTTACCCTTTGCCGTGGTATCTCCACAGCAGTGCCACAGCTCTCCAGCACCATCACCAGTGTCTTGCTGTCACCAGGGATTTGCTCTAGTTGCCCTCAAGTCTTGCTGCCACAATCTTGCTTTCCTCAAGTCTTGTGCCCAGTGTGGGAAGCATTCTTTGTCTTACTGTAATCCCACAGCTGTTGATGATTTGCAAGACCGTGTATCTGCAGTTAAGGTAGCCAACTTTTAGACTAATACCACAGCAGCTTCTCCTGTATCAGTCTTCTGATGCTATCCATAAAATTTCAATGGTCAAAATTTTTCAGAGATGGATCCTTAACATCCTTCTTTTAGTCAGTCTGCCTATGAAAATGCTACTGATTTCTCTACCATGGGATCTTGTTGCTGATATTTTTAAGTGTTTGTGATGTATCTTCTAGCATAACCATAATATGTAAAACATCACAGGATGACAGACTAACAGAAAAACAGTAGTTATTAAATATATTTTGCTTCATATAAACCAGACCTACCATTGCATCAATTCCAGCTGTCAATTTCAGAGGCTGTAAATCTTTATGGGATGTCATGTATTGACTGTGGGATTTAAGCCACTGACCTTTCAGTTGGCAGCACATCATATTATTCGGTATGCTACAAGGGTGTCTTTACTCCAGATAGTCACAGTGCATTTTATTGACATAAAAAAAATTCTATTTTTAAATTAATGTTCCTGATTCTATAGGGAAAAAGAGAAAATTGTGTTTTCTTAACTTTCAAATGTATAACATGCATATATTTACATACATATGAAACAGAAGAAAAAAGTTAACCAAATATCAGCGGTGATTATCTGTGGGAGTGAGAATTTTAATTTTTCCTTTACATTTTTAGTTTTTCCAAATATTACATAGCTGTTTTATAACATCTTGTGTTAAATATTGGTATGTATACTTCAAAGATTTTTATGATGGTAAAATAAAATCATGTGGAAGGTCCTAAAGTCTGTACAAATGACTACAGTTTTAGCAGCAAGAATTTAATGTAAAAGGAATGTTTCCTACTCCTCCATGCTATGGTCTTGAGAAAATGAAAAATAATAATACACACATTTCACTGAATTTTAAGATACTTCTGATTCCACTTATAGGTCAAATAACAGAATAGCAGATCTTTCTTATACAGTAACTCTAGAAGATTATGGATTAGTGAAAATGCGTGAAATTTTTGTCTCTGAGTCATCTCAGGTAAATATAATTGTTATCTAATTATTCTTTAAAAGGACTCTTTTGATGTACTTGTGTTAGCTTGCCTGTTTAAATGTGCTTAATTCTTCGTCTTCTAGGGTTTACCTGCTGTAGCACAGAAGCCATCTTCTCTTCCACCAGCACCTTGTCCTTCAGAAGTCCAGACAGAGCCTCGCGAAACTTTAGAATACAAAGCAGCACTTGAGCTAGAAATGTGGAAAGAAATGCAAGAGGACATTTTTGAAAATCAGGTTACTTAAAAAAGTCCATTTTGGGATGCTTAGTGTATTTTTTTTCTTCTCTATAGCAGATTTTCCCCCCTTCTTTTTTGTATGATTACACTGCCTCAGTTTCTTTGAATGTCGTATTCTTAAAAAATATGAGAATAAAAATAGTTAAAATGTGACCTCTTGGAAGAAGTCATTCAGAAGAATTTCCCTCAACTTTGTGCATAATTCTTGAGCAAAATTAGGAATGAGGGTTAGAAATCAGAAGTTAGGAACTTGAAGATGTCTTTCCTTTTTTTCTGTTACTGAGACTATACCCAGCAAAACATATCAATTCAAGTTTGTACTGGTGCACTTTGGAGCTCTAGTGACTTAATGGTAAGGGATTGCACTGCCAACAAAAAGGTATGAAGTTCAAATCTACCTGCTGTTTCCTGGGAGAAAGTTGAGCAGTCTCCTTCCATGCAGTTTACTGCCTCTGAAAACCCCCTGGAGAGTCAGCTCTGGAATGTAGGCTCCAACTCAACAAAAAAACAACAACTTGTACACTTTCATGACATTAATTACATTCTTTTGAGTTGTGTGACCATTCTTCCATATTGTTCCTTCCTCATTAATGTGTGTGTATGCATGCAATGTTGTTGATTGCCTTCGAGTCAAGCACAACTCACAGTGACCCTATGCATAGAAGGCCTGATACCCCTCAACAACTATTGACATTTATCAAAGCTCATACAATAGCAGAAAGAATTGATACTTTGATACCCACTCAAACAAAAAGAATTGGCTGACACTGAAATATTTCAGAAGATACTGTATGATTAAGAAGCAATGGTTATGAAGGAAGTTTGGACTGCACTGAAGGCACTGGCAAAAATAAGGCCCCAGGAATTGATGGGATACTGGTCGACTTGTTTCAAATGCAGCTCTGGATGTGTTCACTAGTCATTTCTAGGAAATTTGGAGGTCAACTACATGGCTGGCTGCCTGAAAGATATCCATATTCCCATTCTCAAGAAAGACGATCCAACAGGATGTGGAAATTATCAAACAATATTATCTCATGCAAGGAAAATACTGTTGAAGATCATTTCAAAATGGCTGAAACAGTACATAGATAGGAATTTCCAAAGTTCAAGCTGGCTTTAAAAGAGGCCATGACACTATGGATATCATTGCTAATGTCAGATGGATCCTAAATGAAAGCAGAGAGTACTGGGAGGATGTCTGTTTGTGCTTTATTGACTGTGCAGAGGCATTTGACTGTGTGCTTTATTGACTGTGCAGAGGCATTTGACTGTGTGGATCATAACAAATTATGGCTAACCTGGAAAAGAATGGGAATCTAAGAACACTTATATGAAACACTTAAACTGCTTATACAAAACTTATGTTTAGACCAAGAGGCTATTGTGTGAAAAGAGCAAAGGATCACTCCATGGTTTAAGAATCAAGAAAGAAGTCTGTCAGAAATGTATCCTTTCTTCATATCCTTTCAATCTATGTGCTGAACAGCGTATTTGGGAGGCTGGATTTTATGAAGAAGAATTATGGCATCAGGATTGGAGGTAGACTCATATGTTATGCAGATGACACAACCTTGCTTGTTGAAACTGAAGAGGACTTCAAGCTCTTATTGCTGCAGAAGATCAAACACTGTAACCATCAATATGATTTGCATTTTAACAACAAGAAATAAAAAATTCTCACCCCTGGACCTATAGGCAACATGATGGTAGGTTACAAAAAGATTGAAAGTGTCATTGACTTCATCTTGCTTGAATTAACTTTCATTAAACTTGATAACAATCAAGAGATCAGGAAACATATTACACTGGAAAAGTCTTTAGTCAGGGAACTGTCCAAATTATTGAAGAGCCATAATGTTAGTTTAAGGGTGAAAGTGTACCTGATTCAAGCGCTTTCTACACTGCTGAGAACCAGACAATGAATAAAGATGACAGAAGAAGAATTGATGCCTTTGGACTTTTGATGACTGTGGACTTGGAGAAGAGTACTGAAAATCCATTGACCTGCCAAAGAAACCCAAACTGGGGTCTTGGAGATGATGCAATCAAAGTGCTCTTTGGAGGCAAAGGTGACAAAGCTTTATCTCACATACTTGGGGCATGTTGCTAGGAGAGGCAGTTCCTTGGTGTGGGACATGATGCCTGGTAGGGTGGAGGGTTGGTGAAGGAGGGGCAGACCCTCTACCAGTGGGATTGACACAGTGAATGCAGCAATGGGCTTGAACGTGTCAGTGATAATGGTGATGGCACTAGGACGTGATTCAGATCTCTTGTTCATAGTGTCACTATGAGTCATACTAGATAGCACCAAACAATAACAAAGACATTTTACTACTTTTCATTTAATGCAATATATAGATATAAAGCATGATGCAGACATTTTTTACTGCTTTAACTTGTTCAGTTTTAAGATGACATCAAGGAATGTTTTTGATTGAAGGTTTAAATTTTGTTTTGGGACAAGTTTCAGGAGTTCATGGCTCTAAAAGTTTCGAGTCCATTAATATTTAATATTGTATTCTGCATTTACCTCTATATTGATCAAGATTCATCTATGGTTTATTTGCTTAAGATGGTCGATAGTAGTTTGTTGTTGTTGTTATATTCCATAGAGTTGCCTGCAATTCATAGTGGCCCTATGTACAGTAGCTCTAAACTCTGCCCAGTCTTGAGCCAATTTCATTGTCTCTAATATACCTACCTCCTCCATAAGTTACTGAGTCAGTCCTTCTAATTCAGGTCTTCCTCTTTTGAGCATTCCTTCCAGCCTTCCAAGCATGATGTCCTCCTTCAAAGACTGGTCCCTCCTGGAAACATGCCCTAAGTATGAGAGAGCTTGCCTCCAAGGAGCATCTTCATTTCACTCTCTCCAGAAGAGAGCTGTTTGTTCTCGTAACAGTCCAAGTTATGTTCAGTACTCCTCCAGCACCACAACTCAAAAGCATCAATTCTTCTTCTATAATCCTTAGTTATTCAGCTCTATGATGCATAGGAAGTAATTGTGAAGACTATGGCTTGGATCAGTCTCTAGACTGACATCGTTGCTTTTCAGAGTTCTGCAGTTGTCCCTGACAGCAGATTTTCCCCAATGCACTTCATCCTTTAATTTCCTGACTGCTGGTGCCAGAAGTATTGATTGTGGAACCAAGCAAGCTGAATTTGTTACCATTCCCAATCTCTTCTCTGTATATCATGATGCTGCCAATTGGCCCAGTGGTGAGAATCTTTGTTTTCTTGATGTTGGGCTTCAGTTCATTTTGAAGACTCTAGTCCACCTGAATTTAAAGACTATCTCAGAAACACACTTGAGACCTTGCACACTAATGAGTGAAGACCAGGTGAGCTGTGGGAGGATATCAAGAATGTCATCCATGAAGAATGTTATCCATGAAAAATATCATTACAAAGATGGAGAAGGAAGAAAAGACCAAGGTGGATATCAGAAGAGACCTGACTCTTACACTACAGCACCAAGAAGCTAAAGCAAAGGGAAGAAATTAGGAAGTAAGGAGCTGAACAGATGATTTCAAAGGTCAGTTTTAGAAGACAAAGAATGTTAATGAAATGTGCAAAGACCTGGAGTCAGAAAATAGAAAGGAAGAAAATTACTTGGCACTTCTTAAGCTGAAGGAACTGAAGAACAAATTCAAACCTCAAGTTGTAGTGCTTCTAGATATTGTGGGCGGAATGTTGAATGACCCAGGAAGCATCAGAAGAAGATGGAAGGAGTACACAGAGTCACTATACCAGAAAGAATTGGCTGACAGAAAAGAATTTGATGAAACAACATATGATTAAAAGGTAGTAGTGATAAAAGAGGAAATTTAATCTAATCTGAAGGAATTGGCAAAAAACAAAGCCCCCAGAATTGATTGATATATTTCAGCGAACAGTTGCTGCCCTCGAGAAACTCACCATGTTTTGCCAAGAAATCTGGAGAACTACTACCTGGCCAACTGACTGGAAGAGATGCGTACTTATTCCCATTCCAAAGAAGTGATCCAACAGAGTGTGGAAATTATTGAACAATAACACTAATATCACATGCTAGCAAGATCAGTAATGGTAGCCAGCCACATCTATTTCTTTCATCTTATGGCAAAGGAAGCAGTTGTTCATGGAACTAAACTTTTACTTTTTCTCCTTCTATTCCTGAATCACATTCTTCTCCTTTTGCTGTAAATGACTAGAGACCAACTGTTATGATTTGAATGATGGCACACAAGCTTTTAAGACCCAGTTACTGTTGAAGGTAGAATAGAAAAAAGAAACATATTATTTCATCCAGTTAAATAAGATGTCCCGTGAAACTAAGACCCTAAGTAACAACAAGGAACCAAGTGCCATGTTGTATTTCATTGTTATAATAGCCTCATTTGCTACCGTTTTTCCTGTCATTGTTGTAAATATATCACACAGTTTTTCCATTTCCACTTTTTTTAAGTATGCAACTCATTGACAGCAATTAGCTATAACTCTAGTTCATAATCAGGGCGATTTTTCCCAGCACGGTTCACTCCCTTTTTTCTTCTTCGCACCTCAGTAAACTTTGATTTCTGTGCATTTGCCTTTTATTATTTTTTAAATATATGTCAGGTAATACAATATTTGCCATTTTATGGTTGACCTTTTTCTTTTAGCATATTGTCTTCAAGTTCCACCCATACAGAATCATGTCTCAAGACTTCATTTTTCCTGGTGGCTGATTAGTAGTCCATTGTGTGTATATAGTATCACATTTACTTTATTCATTCATCTGCTGATGGATATTTAGGTTGTTTCTTCTCCTTGACTATTGTTAATAGTGCTGCAGTGAACATTGATAGAAAAGTTTCTGAGTTTCTGTTTCAAGTCTTCAGAGTGTAAGTGGAATTGCGATGTCATACAGTAGTTCTCATTTTAGTTTTTTGAGAAATACCCACATTGTTTTCACAACAGTAGTACCATTTGCATTTTCACTACTATTAATTTTCCCACATTCTCCACAACATTTATTGTTTTCTGGTTTTTGTTTTTCTGTTAGCCATGCTGGAGGGAATAAACTTTTATGTCCTTAGATTTGCCTCTCTGATGGCTAATGAGCATCTTTTCGTGTTTGGTAGCTACTTGAATGTCCTCTGGTGAAATGTGAAATTTCTTTGATCTCTCGTCCTCAGCTTATAGCTGATTTTTCTAGATCTTGGCTGCCATCAGTATCTAGTCAAGAGATTTCAGAAAATGTTTTTTAGCTTTATACTCTCGTGAATTAGTCTCTTGAATCTTACTTGTCTCAAGCATCCTCCAATTCTTTCTGAATAGTTAAAATGGGATGCATGAAGAGCCACATCAGGAGCCAGTATTACTTGTTTAGCGAGAAACCATTTATTATTTTACTTGAAATAGATGAGTTTTTGTTAACTATTCTTTTTTCCCCTTTGTAGTTAAAGCAGAAGGAACTGGCTCATATGCAAGCTCTTGCAGAGGAATGGAAGAAAAGAGACCGAGAGAGAGAATCACTAGTGAAGAAAAAGGTAGTAGAAAGGGAAAAGATAAAAATATTGGTAATCACATCATACATATGAGTTAAAATCTAGGGAAGGATAAATTGTGGTGAGAGCAAATGACTTAGATGTTAGGAAGTAGGCGATTTATTCTAAGCTCTTTCGTGAACTGTGAAAATATAGTACCTATTCAAATAATGCATAAATAGAAAAAGTGAATGTTGTTGTTAATATTCTTTCTAGTCACCTGTGGCTCATAGCAACCCTACGTACAATAGCCCTAACCTCTGCTCTATCCTTTGCCAATCTTACTGTCTCTACAACAGCCCTAACCTCTGCTCTATCCTGTGCCAATCTTACTATCTCTGACACATCCATCCTCGTTACCCCAGTCACTGACTCAATCCATCTCATCGAGGGTCTTCCTCTCTTGTGCTGTCCCTCCACCCTCCCAAGCATGACCTCCCTCTCCAAGGACTGGTCCTGCCTTGTAACTTGTCCAAAGTACCTCAGACGAAGCTTCAGAATCCTTGCCTCCAAGGAGCAGCCTGGTCTCACCCTCTCTGGGATGAACCTGGTTAGTCTCCTAGCAGTCCATGGTATATTCAGTACTCTTCTCCAGCACCACAGCTCATCAATTCTCCTTCTTTTATCCCTAGTGATTGTCCAGCTTTCTGATGCATAGCAAGTAATTACCAAGACTATGGCCTGGATCAGGTGCACCTTCGTCTCCAGACTGACATCTTTGCTCTTCATTACTCTGGACAGATCTCTGACAGCACACTTTCCCAGTGGAATTTGTGTTTTAATTTCCTGGCTGCTGGTACCAAGAGTGTTGATTGTGGAGCCAAGCAAACTAAAGCTGTTAACAGTCTCACTCTCTTCACCATCTATCACGATGTTGTCAATTGGTCCAGTGGTGAGAATCTTTGTTTTCTTGATTTTTGAGCTTCAATCCATATTGAAGGCTGTAGTCCTTAACCCTCTGCAGGAAGCTCTTCAGGTCCTCCTCAGTTTCAGCAAACAGGGTTGTACCATCTGCATAACACAGAGTGAATATTCTAGAAAAAAGCCAATGAATGAATGAAAAAGAAAATAACAATTAGGAATATATAAAAATTGTACTGTAATTTTAAAAAATTTCTAAAACTTAAAAGCTCTTTTTCAAGAATTACGAAATCCCTGGTGATGCATCAGTTAAACACTCAACTACAAACAAAGACTTTTGGCAGCTTGAGCCTTCCTGTTGATCCTGCAGGAGAAAAGACCTGACAGTCCTCTTCTTGGGCTGACAACCTTGGGAACCTTGTGAGGCAGTTTTTTATTATATGGTTCACTGTGTCCTGAAATTGACTCAACAAGAGCAATCCATGTTTTTAAAAATGACAAAAAATGATAGGCTTAGTGGTAAGGAGTTGTGCTACCAAAGGCATGTGCCACACCAGCTGTTCTGTGGCAAAAAGGTGAGCAATTTTCTCCTGTGAAATTTACAGCCTCTGATACATCTCTGGAAGGCCAGTGGTGTGCAAAAACAGCTGGTGATGCAGTAGACTAAGTGCTGGACTGCTAATTGCAAAGTCTATGCTTGAAACCCACCAGCTGTTGATTATTGAAATCATCTGATCTTACTATAGAAAATAAATACTGGTTTGTGTTCTTGAAGGGAAATGTGCCATTGTTTATCTTTGGTCCTCTGCATGTTTTTGTTGTTAGTTTTCTTTTTTCTCCTCTTTCCTGCCTTTCAAGAATTTTTTGGTCACTGTTTTTTCAAAAGCATCATGATTATGGTGTACCTGTGTGTATATGTGTGTGTATGTATGTGTTTATCCTCCTTAGAGTCTTTCACTTTCTTGGATCTAAAGCATTTAAAGTTTGTATCCCTTTTTTGTGTGTTTTCAAGTTGCCTGTGACACATAGTGACAGCAGCTCTGAAGCCTGCTCTGTCTTGAACCAGTCTCACTGATTCCGACACACAACCCCCATTGGCACAGTTACTGTTTAATGCATCTCATCGTTCAGGGTCGTCTTCTCCTGTGCCATCCCTTCATCCTTCTGAGCATGATGTCCTTCTCCAAGGATTGGGCCCTCCTGGCCACATGTCCAAGACAGAATGTCAAAATCCTATCCTCCAAGGAGAAACTTAGTTTCATCTTCTCCATGACAGACTTGTTTATTTTCTTGGTAGTCCATGGTATGTTCAAGCCTCTTTTAGAATATGGATTTTTCTCCCATCATTTTTGGATTTCAGCTTATATGTATGTTAAATTGCTTGATGTTTCATAGTTAACTGTCGTTTATAAAGACTTTCTTTGTGCTTCATTTGCTGCTTCCGTCATCGTACTCGAGATCTGCTTCTGCTGTTTTTCTTCTGGTTATGGCTTATCATTTTCCACATCTTTGCATGCCTTTAGATGCTTCACATTGTTAATTTTATTTTATTGATTACTGAATTTTCCTATATTCCATTAAAAGGTACTGTTCTGGTATGGAATTAAGTTACTTGGATCTGTTAATAGCTTGATCTTTTAAGCTTTTTTAGGGTTGGTCTAGTGCATACTTTAGTGAAAGCACTGTTTAGTAATATTGATCTGAGAACTCAGTTTAATGCCTACTGTATTACAAGGTCTTGGCACCTTGCCTGGTGGAAATGTGAACTAATCTCAGCCCTGTCTAAACCTAAGAATTGTTCACATTACTACTTTTCAGTGATAATTTCCTGTACATAGTTTACTTCACCCACATTAAACCTTCAGTATTAAACCTAAGATTTTTTAGATCCCAAACATATACCTTCTATGCTTTTCTTTCCTAACTACTTCAGCCCCATATTCTCCAGTGTATTTATTTCGTTTTCATTAATTGCTTTGTTTTTCCACAAATATGTATAACATCTTTAGTACTATATTAAAAGTACACCTGCAACTAACAAGATGGATGGGAAATTACGTAATTACTTAAATTAGTTTTATATCTGCCGCTCTGTGCAAAATAACAAGCAGGTAATAAATTAAAGCTTACGGACTTAGTATGAGGGAAGAAATGCCTGGAAAACTTCTTCCAAAACACCCACAATTGAAAATCCAATGGAGTGTATGGTTGGGGTCATCATGAGTCAGAGTCAACACCCAGACAACTGGTTTAGCTTTTTTAAAAAAAATATTGAATATACCATGGACTGCGAGGAGAACAGACAGATTTGTCCTGAAGAGGGTGAAGCCAGAATGTTCCCTGGAGTCAAGGATTCTGAACCTTCCTCTAACATACTTTGGGCATATTGTAAGGAGGGACTGGTCCTTGCAGAGGGACATCATGTTTGGGAGAGTGGAGGGACGGTGCAGGAGAGGAAGACCCTCGATGAGCTGGATCGATTCTGTGAGTGGAGTGGTGGGAATGAGTGTGTTTGAGATGGCGAGGTTGGTACAGGATAGAGCAGCGTTTAGGGCTCTCGTACATAGGGTCGCTGTGAAAGTATTACCTAAATAACTTTTCAATTCAAAATTAAGAACAAGTCTGTGAAGACCCTCAGCAAGGAGGATAGGTGCAGTGATTTTAACAGTGGTTCTGAGCATCAAAGAGTTGGTAAAGATGATGCAGGAAAGGACAAGGTTCAGATCTGTTGTTGATAGGGTCACTATGAGTGGGAGTCGACTCTAGGACACCTGACAACTAGTCTGTGTAGTAGATAGATGATATTAAGGTGGTAGTCGTGTTGTGTATGTCAGATTGATTCAGAGTCTTAACAACACTGCGTGACTGAGGAGTGCTGCCCTAGGCTTTCTTTGGTCTTTATGGTAGAACACCAGGTCTTTTATACCAAGGAACCATTGTGGATTCAGACTTCACTGGTGGATTCAGTCTTCTGTCCTTAACCGTTATACTACCAGTTTACCTTATATCAAGATCAAACTAGATATATCAAGATTTTTTAATAATCATCGAACAGTATCATTACTATCACGTACAAACAAGATTCTGCTGAAAATGATCCAAAAAGGACTACGTCAGCAGTGAACTGCCAGATACGCAGGCGAGGTTTAGAAGAGGCTGTGGTACTAGGGATATACAGATAATATTACATGGATCTTGGCTGAAAGCGGAACGTGGTAGAGGAATGTCTTTTTTGTGTTTCATTGACTTTGCAAAGATGTTTGACTATATGGATCACAACAGACTGTGGCTGACTCTGAGAAGAATGGGAATCCCAGAACATTTGATTATGCTTATGCGAAACCTGTTCTTGGACCAGGAGGCAGTCGGCAGAACAGAGCAAGGAGAACACTGCATGGTTCAAAATTGGAAGAGTATACACCAGGATATATCCTGTGTCCATACTTTTTCAATCCACATGCAGAACAGACCATCTGGGAGGCTGTGCTCTATGAGGAGGAATGTGGCATCAGGGTTGGAGGAAAATTCATCACCAGTCCGCATTATGAGATGGCGCAACCCTGCTTGCTGAAACTGAGGAGGACCTGAAGTACGTGCTGCAGAGGGTCAAGGACTGCAGCCTTCAATAGGGATTGAAGCTCAACATCAAGAAAACAAAAATCCTCACCACTGGGCTGATTGGCAGCATTATGATAGATGATGAAGAGACTGAGATTGTTAACAGCTTTAGTTTGTTTGTCTCCACAGTAAACACTCTTGGTACCAGCATCCAGGAAATCAAGAGACAAATTGCATTGGGAAAGCCGGCTGTCAGGGACCTTCCAGAGAACTGAAGAGCAACATCAGTGTGGAGACTAAGATGTGTCTTATCCAAGCCATAGTCTTCACAGTTGCTTGCTGTGCATCACAGAGCTGTACAGTGCCAATGACTAGGGATGCTAGAAAGAGAATTGATGCCTTTGAGCTGTGGTGAGGTAGAAGAGTGCTGAGTATACCATGGACTGTTAGGAGAACAAACAAGTTCATTCTCGAAAGGGTGAAATCAGGCTACTCCTTAGAGGCAAGGATTCTGAGGCTTCGTCGGACATACTTTAGGCATGTTGCAAGGAGGGACCAGTCCTTGGAGAGGGACATCATGCTTGAAAGGGTGGAGGGACAGAGAGAGGAAGACCATTGATAAGATGGATTAATTAAGTTACTGGCGTAATGAGAGTAGATGTGTCAGAGACAATAAAGTTGGCCCAGGATAGAGCAGGGTTCAGGGCTGTTGTACTTAGGGTCTCTGTGAGTCATAAGCAACTTGATAGCACAAAACAATATTAAGTTAATATCTAATTCTCCTGATCTATATATCTAAAGATGTTATTATAATTGATTTGGTTTTTATAATCTATCAGTTACCTAGTTTAGGTCATCAGTTGAGACACTTTCGGGGAGAAAAATGTTTTCTTTCTTTTTTCCCCCCATGTTCTGTAAGAAAACTAATTATTTTTGTGGAGATTCTTCCAATTGATAAAGTAGTCCTCAGTTACACACAGATGTTTTCTCAAATAATAAAGCTTAAGTAAACTTGAGGTAGATATTTTATCTTTGTTTGTGGCTTTGGGGTAAAGTGAAATATTTTCAACTATGCCAAGCCTTTGCTTTTGGAAACCACTTTGTGGGTAGGTAGCTTTTGCTCCTTTTTCTGTTTTCCTTTTAGTAACCTAATTATGCCAATGATTGTACTGAAGTAATTTTCAGCTAATGAACTAGTTTTAAATTGTTGTGTGATTGCATGTTGTTTTTGTTCTGCCTTCTAGAGCAATTGAGATGATGTTTACTTTGTGTTTCTTAACACTGCCAGTCAGATAGCTGCACGCCTAAAGGAAGGCAGGCATCAACTCACGTAGGAAGCATTAGGAAATGTTTTCTAGATAAATTGATCTTTGTACTCTGATGATGATTAGTAGACATAGCCATGTGATCCTAAGGAAATTTCTAAACAGAGAACTCCCTTGAACAAAGGCAGTGAAGTTTGGATAGTTTGAGACAGAATTCAGCATTTTTCAGAGCACAGACATTTGTCTTCCCAGAGGGAAAACAGTGTAGTTTGAATACTGTGGGATATTCCTGTTCACCTCTCTGTTTCTTTATGGCTTTGACACTCAAAACTTGACACATTTTTATTAACGATTTAGATCAGGGTAGATGGCATATTTAACAGATTTTCAGATTATCCAAACCGAGGTCCTAGAGTTAAGAGAATCATATACAAAAAGATAGTGATTAGTTATAATGCTCTGCCTATATCACCAACTGAATTTTAGAAAGTGTACTTTTAAAGAAAAGTATAAGTAGGACCTTTAAATAACAAAAATAATTTTAGGATAATAGACATGTCCTTTTAGACAGTGTGTATTCTTTCATCTCTGAACTAGTGAGATCATATCTGAGCATCCTATTTTTTAAAGGACTTAGTCTAGAATCTATATTAAATCCAAGTTGTTAGAGGATATGGAAATTATAATATGTGAATAATGGTTGAAGAAACTTGTTGAGATATCCAAGACTCAGGAATAGTAAGTTATATACAGTTTTTTTTTCTGACCGTGCGTTTGAAATGGGATTGAAGGGTGATCTTCTAAGAGCAGGAAACCAGGGTTTATTACCAGTGGAAAAGGATGAGGCATGGGAAGTGAGGGGGAGAATAGAAAAAAATTGATTTCGTAAAAGTGATCAGTCTGAATTGAAAGAAACCCAAGAGAGCCCTTGAATCTAGTACATGCTGAGTAGGTAGGCCTCTTTTCTTGAATAGGATTCAACTCCTTAAAAGCAGAGCAGAAAACAGCTTGAGGCTTTTGGAAATTTGGGTACTTGACTAGGGGACCAACCAGAGGCCTTCACTTAGGAAGGGATCAGGCACATAGTTACTGTCGCTATAGTATAGGTTCAGATATAAACCATTAGGAAGAAAGACTTAGAACAGACTAGCTGATCTAGCAATAGGATTAGTTCTAGGGAAAGAAAGTTTTAAGTGAATGGCTCAGGGCCTCAGAGATCTTGGATAGTGGGATATTGAACAAAATAGATTTAAAGCAGTAAACTTTGATTAAATGCTTTTTTATTAGCAGACTGATGGTTCCATAGGAAAATTGGCCTAGTAGCAAGAAGCTGCGCTGCTATCCTGACGGCACACAGTTCCAGGCCACCAGTTGTTCCAGGGGAGAAGGATGGGCAGTCTCCTCCAGTGCAGTTAACTGCCTCTGAAAACCCACTAGAGGGTCCGCTTTGGGTCGGTTCCAACTCAACGGTAAAAAAAAAAAAATTATCGCTAGAGATAGTTAAGCAGAAGCTGAGTAGTTTTCCTTTGTTATAGTCAAAAGGATTACTATTTTGTATTTGAAAAAAGCAAAACCTCAAACTCCTTGCTGTCAAGTCAGAACCAGCTCATAACCAGCTTCCCTGGGTTTTTAGAGACTAAATTGTACAAAAGGAGATTGCCTTTCTCCCATGGAACATTCAAACCGCTGTCTTTAGGTTGGCAGAGTATCTCCTTACCTACTGGGACACCAGAGCTTGCTTATTTTGAGTAGGTAGATGTCACTTAATGACTTTATTTTCTACATCCTGTTTCAGGTATGATGGTTGTTTTTTTTTTTTAATTTGTGTATGCTTTGAATTTGAAGGAAACATAACATTTTACTTTTTTACTCTACTTTAGGTGGCTGAATATACTATTTTAGAAGGAAAACTTCAAAAAACCCTAATAGACTTAGAGAAGAGAGAGCAGCAACTTGTCAGTGCAGAATCAGAGGTACTGTATATGACATGTTTTTATTTCACAGCTAATCTGTAACATTTCTTCTATACTTAAATAGGAATTATGTTTTAGACAGTTTGGAGAAAACTGCTTTTCAATTATACAAAGCAAGTTTGGTGGGCTTTTAAAAAATGTTTTAATTTTTTGGTCTTTTTTAATGTGAGAAAAGGTAGAAAAATGTTCAAGTGTTTATTTGGAATAATTAAATACTTTATTAACTTTGGCCTGATTTTTTTCTAGAATAGCATAAGCTTTCAGTTGACTTTCCTATTATGTGGAAAGGATGGATTTTTGTACTACCTATAGAAAAGAGGAAATACAGAATACAAAATCGTGATAACTGCTTTAAAAAGGAATTTCTCTTTCTTGTCCTAGAGTGATTAGATTCCAAAAAGGATTGAGAAGATATGTCCATACAATCCTTAGTTTTCATCCTTATTAAGTGTTAATAAATTTTACCCTCAGCTTGTCAAATTTTCTATAAAAGAACTTAAAATAATTATTTGTTCCACGTTAATTTTGCTTGCATCTTCCTACCCAGTAATTCTTTTAACATTGTCTCAATATATCACTCTAATCATGTTTTAATGTTTTTTCCATTTCTCAATTATTTAAATATTTGAATAAATATATATATATATATATTTGTAGATCTAAAAATGATTCTGTTCCTAATACTAACTATCTTTTTGTTTTCTAGAAGAAATTAAGAAACTTGTGTATATAAACTTACATAACAAAATGAGTGGTTAACAGATAGGAATTTTAAGTGGTTAAAACCTTTTCCCTGTTTTTATGTGGCTTCATGTATGATTTTTTTTTAAGAAAATACTTTGCATTTTATTGAAACTTTATAATTTTAGCATTTTTAAATACTAAGTAATGAATGGAAAATATCTGAAAATTTATAAACATTCTGAAAATTTAACTGTATCTAAGGATAATAGACTTGGACCATATAATCCAGCTATTAATAGGCCACCCTCTTAATGATGCATTTGTTTTAAGCTTCAAAGAGAGAAAAGGGAGCTAAAGTCAGAACGTGAACGGAACCTCCAAGAACTTCAGGACTCTATCCGCAGGGCTAAAGAAGACTGTGCTCACCAAATAGAACTGGAAAGGTTGAAAATCAAGCAGCTAGAAGAGGATAAACACCGACTTCAACAGAAGGTTAGAGAAAATACTTATGTTTTTATTCTTAAAGTGTATTTCTATTCAAGAAAAAAGTAGTTAATGAAAAAGTTAAAATTTACTAAAATTATTAGAACTTTCTAAATAAACTAGTATGAAAAGTTTCTTAAAAATAACTCTAATTTAGAATACTAATCATAATTATTGCAGACACTCAAAAGTTCAAATAAACTTGAATTCGGTTGTTTATTTGTTTTTTTTTTAAGTAGAAAGCAGTGGACTAATTGGGTAAATAATTTTTTTCTGTTGTCCCTAATTACATGAAATTGTATTTCCAAGGACTCCCAATTTAAAGTCTTGCTTAACAAACATATACTTTATACATTGTTGTTGTTGTCATTGTTATGTGCCTTTTAGTTGCCTGCAACTATAGCTATAGCCAGTCTACGTACAACAGCCCTAAACCCTGCTCTATCTTGTGCCAATCTTACTGTCTCTGACACACCTACCTCCATTACCCCAGTCATTGAATCAGTCCATTGCTAGACCAAATTTGTTCAGAACCAGACTTCATGAGAGAAGTGTCTATACTCTTCTCCGTTTCCTTCCTTCATACTCAACTTTCAGCCCATCCCATGCCACTTTCTGTCTCCATCACTCCCATCAGCTGTCAGAAAAGGTACCAGTAGCTGAGTCATTAAGTTCAGGGGACATTTTTTACTTCTCATTAAAACTTTTTAACAGTATCAATGTTATTGTCATTGTTTCTATAGATTCCCTTCTCTCAGCTTCTATGATACTAGACCCATTGTTTTCCTCTACCTTTCTGCCACTCTGCAGGCTCCATTGCAGGCTCTTTCTTTATTGAATGATGGAATTCCTCCAAGTTTGGGACTTACTCTCTGCTAAACATTTCTATCCATGCCCATAGATGCCATGGACAGTTTGTATCTCTCTGACTCTCCCATGTATGTCCTAGCATTCTCCTTTGTACTCTATCTAGATCCATGTGTTTAATTGCCTGTCTCGAGAATGGAAAAATGGCACATGGGGACACAGGGCCATGAGTATCTCTCTGAAAGGGCCAGAGGTTGTGAAAATAGTGTAACCCCTCACTGCCCCAAAGCAGAAAGCATGTAGCCCAGCCCCATGGTGCTTCTAGAGACACACCAGTAGCAAACGATTCAGTTTTCTTTGTTGACTCACAGTTGTGATACCAGTAATGGAGTTTATTAGAAAATTAGATTGAGGAGTGGGAGAGGCAAAGAATATTTCACAATAAAAGTCCAGGTTTAGTCCAGCAGTCCCAAGGCAACAAAATACAATTCTTTAATTAGTAAAAGCCCTGGTTTCAGTTCAACAGCACAAATTTAAGAAGCCTCTTGTTTCCTCAGTCATCCAGCAAGGTTTGCCTCAGAGCAGTTTATAAATTAATTTTTCCTTAAGCTTCTGGCAAGAATAGCAAAATCTTTAACTGTGGCTAACATAAATCCAAGAAGCCTCAGGTCACATTTTGCCATAATTTTTCCAAACATATACCACAGTTCCTCTACCACCATCTCAAGTGTCTCACCATCAAGGTTTTGCTCTCACCAGGGTCTTGCTCCAGTTTCCCTCAAGTCTTGCTGCTCAGGGTGGGAATGACTTTGTCTCTTATCCTAGTCTCACAGCTGTTGATGATTTGCAAGACTTAAGCCAATTTTAGGCTAACACTGCATTGCCTTTTTGACATTTCTTTTCAGTGTCTTAAAGGTACTTTTAACTCAGCATATCATACATTACATTCTCCATTAAGTAGTCCCTGTTTCAGTGATAGGCTTCCCTGAAACCTTTCTCTTCTTTGTATGTTGCAGCCAGAATGATAGCTTTTGAAATTTGGGATTTATGAAACTCTTCTTTAAAACTTTTTGATGACTTTTTTATTGCTCATAGGATACAGATTAGAATTGTTACCTTGCTGGAAAATCTTAAGCATAGCTTAATCCCAAAATAGCTCTTTTATTGCATTTCCTATTATTTCACTTTGTTGTTTACTATCTATTATCTAAATATGTCCTAATCACTTAATAAGATCTTCATGTGTGTGCTGCTGTTTCCAAACCTAGTGGGTGCAGGTTTTCCTTCACTTTTTAGAATCACTTTCCCAAGAGAAATTTTCCCTGATCTCTGTTCGCTGAGTGTGGGTCAAGCTTTTGATACATGATTTTGTGGAACACTGTTCTCCAGGCCTTTTTAAAAAACTATTTTACATCAGTTTGTTTTTCTTTTCTCTAGGGTAATAATTTTATTACCCTCATACTCTTAGCTCCATAAAACAGGAAGTGCTGTTTTGAAAATTTATAGTTGTATGCCTGGAGCTCAGCTCAATAAGTATTAAAAAAATGAAAAATCAGCTGTTAAAAATCAAATGTATCTGCCTGAAAAATAATCTGCAAAGATGAGTGAGATATGTATGATGAATGCCTTAAAGTCTTCAGTCATTTGTTGCATTAAAAAGCCAGATAGAGTCATAATATTGAAGTGGTTAGAAATAGGAATTTCATTACTAATAGGAAGGAGAGGATTTAACTTAAAATATGAAATACACATTTGTAGAAGTGGGAAAATGTATTCACTAGTAATGCTTTTCTTCTGTCACTTAAAAGGAAAATTCTGATTTAGAAAACTTTATTACGTCAGGAAAGCTCTTGAGAAGAAAGCAGCAAGTTAGTACCCATTTCCACTGTGACATGGTTAGTCCACCTCTTTGTGGGGAGAACTTGCACACTGATATTTTGGAAAATTTACCCAGGTTACTTCTCTGATTTTAAATCCCTGGTCTGAAATAAGATCACTGAAAATTCTAGGAAAGAGTGAACAAAGGACACTTCTGGGACATCCAAATTGCTGTTTCCACACACTGTATACAATTTCACATTTTATATGGGGAAGCTCTTTAAATTTGTGTTATAAACCAAGTTACATAAACTATAGACATAATTGTAATTAGAGGATAGAACACAGCTAGGCACACTGATATAGGAGCACTGATTATTTTTTATTTTATTTTTATTATTTATTTTTGTATGTATGTGTGTGTGTGTGTGTGTGTGTACCATCAAATCAGATCTGACTGATACAAGAGGAGATTCCCCTCTTTCTGCAACAGAGCATCTTTGATTCGAACCACATCCCTCTGGGATTGCAGTGCAGTTACTTGCCACTAGGCCACCAGAGCTCCCAACACTGATTATGTAAATATATAAAAGGAAATACCAAAACTAAAAAATTACTGTTGCCACTTAGCAAAGGACTAAAGAATCCAACTTTCTGCTCTACTAGTAAATATAATAATTGTTTATGATAATGGCCTATATGATGGAAAAATAACTAAATACAATATTAAATATATTGCCCTTTGTTGAAAAAACAAAAGAAGGCCCATCCACCCACTCCAAAAAAACCTGGGAAAGTCAGATACTTTAAAAAGGTTTCTATTCAACTTTTAAAATAATAATAATAATAATAATAATAATAATAAAGTAATGTTAACAGTGATAAGCTTCAGTTATATGGCATGGTTTTATGTGTGGAGCACTGCCTTATCAATAGATGCTAGATAAAGTAGAATTATATGGCATAAAAGAATAAATTATATGGTTTGGCGTTTCATTTTTATCCCATTTTCTCTCCGTATTTTAAATTTCATTAATTTTGAGGTCTTAAGAAAGTGCTAATTAGTTTAGCCAGTGATGGATAGTCATAACAGAAGATGATATTGGGAAGCATCTTGAGCAATACTTGGTTTTGATAAAACAAAAATTTCCTGATATATACCGTTATACCCCTATATTTTTGTTTTGCTTAGTTCTGCAACTCATAGGGAAAATTATCGACTAAGGCAGTTTGCACTCTCTCTATCCTTTTCTTTTTCTTCTAAACTTGGGAAGTATTTCGTATTGTCATTAAAACATTCAAGATCTGATTTTGTTCATATCTGCTAACTAGCTTTTTGGTATTTTCTGATTTCATTCTCTGACCCTCATTTCCCTTACTTATGACTATAAAGAAGAAATTATTTCAACTGTAATAATATTTTGATATATGATTTGCATATACTATAGAATCCTGATTATATTACAGTTGAGTCAGAACCAACATATAGCTGACCCTCTAGTGGATTTTCAGAGGCAGTTAATCACATTCATGCCATGAGATTGCCCATTTTTCTCCTTTAGAGCAGCTGGTGGATTAGCTTTCTTTTTATTTTCATGGGTGACAGTCTGACATGTCTTTAATGTTCAGTCTTGTCTTAGATGCTGTGTCAGAAGAATAATTTAAGAAAAAACCATTATTGGTGTATGGTAACTTTTTATTTGCCAGCTAAAATTTAACAGAAATATTCTCATGATAATGGTTTATAAGACACTGCATACTGGTAAAAAGATTTTACAAACTATCAATCAGCTCATTTAATAACATATTTAAAATTACTAGAGGTTTTTATTTTCCCTGTTACACTTTATTTTCCAAGTTTTCTACTAAAACGTATGATTTTTTTAAAAAGACCTTTTTTACTTTTTAAAAAATGACAGTTGAATTAGATTCTATAGCGTTAAACTTGAATTAGTTTTTAAATATTTATATAAACACTTTCTTCAAATGGCAGCTTAATGAAGCCGAAAATAAGTTTAAGAACTTGGAAAAAGAGTTCCAGCATTTCAAGGATCAACAGAGCAATAAACCAGAAATACGTCTACAGTCTGAAATAAATCTTCTCACCTTGGAAAAGGTAATGTATCAGTTTATGACTAATTCACTATTCCTAGTGATTCATCTCTAAACTGAGTAAATATTATTTGTGTATGAAATGTAGTCTTCTACTCTAGTATCCTAATAGCATATTGTACTATTTTAATATAACATCAGGCAGTTCAGAGTACTACTCTGTACCTTTTGATATCTGAGTAAACATTTGCTGATGGTGATGATAAAATAATCTTTGCTGCACAGAGTTTTCCGTTATTCAGCAAAAATGTATAGAGAGCATTTTATTTGTGTTTCTCTCTTCTTGGTACAAAACTGTTTTGAAGTGGTTGTTTACTATTAATCAATTAATTAGTTCTTTATTAAGTGCTTTTTCTGTTCCCAGGACAGACTTACCTCTCATTTTAGAGTTGAGAGGAAATTAATAAATTTTTAAAAAAGTATTTTTATAGGACTAAGCATAATAAAGGAACTCTGATGAAATAGTATATAGTATATTACACTGCTAATCCAAAGGCCAAGCATGTCTGGTACTTTGAATCCACCAGTGGCTCCTCAGAAAAAAGATAAACAGTCTCCTCCCATTAAGATTTACAGCCTCTTTTTATCATAGGAGTATGCAATGAGGGTTGCAGAGTGGATTATATTTGGGGGAGGGGGGGGGTTGGGGGAGGAGGGGGGGGGATTGTGTACCAATGAGGGAGTTTTTCTTTTGCTTTTCAAGGAGAGGAGCAAACGGGGGGGGGGGGGGGGTTTGTGCGGGGAGAAGGGTGCAACAATGAATGAATGGAATTCCAGAATCTCTGTAGATGTTCATTGAAATGAAAAATAAACAACCTAAATTTAAAAAAAAAAAAGAAGACAAAGATACTCGCCACTAGGGCAGCTGACATGATAGATGAAGAAGAAATTAAATTTGTTAACAGTTATTGAACTTGCTCAGCTCCACAATCAACACTCTTAGCATTAGCAGTCAGGAAATCAAAAGACAAATTGCATTGAGGAAGTCTGCTAACAGAGCTTTCCAAAGTGACAAAGAGCAATGATGTCAATCTAGAGAGTATGGTGTGCCTGGTTCAACCCATGGCCTTTGCAGTTACTTTCTATGTGTCAGAGAGCTGGACAGTGACTAAACATGACATAAGAAGAATTGATGCTTTTGAGTTGTAGTGCAAGAAAAGAGTATTGAATATACCATGGACTACCAGGAGAACAAACAGCTCTGTCTTGGAAAAGGTAAAACCAATTTTCTCCTTGGAGGCTAGGAGTTTGAAGCTCTGTCTCACATACTTTAGGCATGTGGTCAGGGACTAGTTCTTGGAGAAGGACATTATATTTGGAAGGGTGGGACAGTGGAAGAGAGGGGGACAGTGCAGGAGAGTGAGATTTGGATGAAATGGATTGACACAGTAACTGGGTAATGAAGTACATGTGTCAGAGACTAGGTCAGGATAGGGCAGGGTTAAGAGCAACTGTCCATAGGGTCACTATGAGTCGCAGGTGACTTGATGGCACATAACAACATCATTATTATCACATGCAAGCAAAATACGGCTGAATATCATTCAGAAATGATCAGAACCGTACGTAAATAGGAACTGCCATACGTGGAAGCAGTGTGACACTAAGAATATCATTGCTGATGACGGATGGGCCCTATCTGAGAGCAAAGAATACCAGAAGGATGTCTATTGATGCATTATTGATTGATTATGCAAAGGCATTTGACAGTGTGGATCATAACAAATTACACTGAGAAGAATGATAATAACAGAACACTTAATTGTGCTCATGCAAATCCTATACTGAGACCAAGAAGCTGTTCACCAGTGTTAAATCATCTCTCCTTACTTATACAATTTACTGAGCAAATTATTAAAAAAAAAAACCCCAAACAAACACTGGACTCTATGAAGAAGAATGTGACATCAGAATTGGAGGAAGACTCATAAATAGCCTGCAGAATGCAGATGACACATCTTGCTTACTGAAAGTGAAGAGGACTTGAAGCACTCTCTGCAGAAGATCAAAAAACAGTCTTTAGTATGAACTTCATCTCAACATGAAGAAACAAAAATGCTTACCACTGGTCCGATAAGCAACATTATGATAGATGGAGAAAAGATAAAAATTATCAATGATTTCATCTTACTTAGATTCATAATCAGCACCCTTGGTAGTAGCAGTAAGGAGATGAGGAGAGATATTGCACTGGTAAATTCTTCAGTCAGGGACCTATTCAAATTACTGAGGAGCAATGCTGTCAATTTGAGAACCAAGGTGGGTCTGATTCAAACCATTGTCTTTTCAGTCACTTATTATACATCTGAGAGCTGGACAATAGATTAAGGGTGACAGAAAAAGAATTGATGGTTTTGAGCCGTTATGTTGGAGAAGAGTACTGAACATCACATTGATTGTCAGAAGAACAAATATGTGTTGGGAAAAGTGCACACACAAAGGAAATGATGATAAAACTTTGTCTTACATATTTGGGGCATGTTCCTAGGAGAGCCTGTTGGAGAAGGACATCATGGTTGGAAAGGTGGAAGGTCAGCAAAGAGAGAAAGGGCCTCAACCAGATGGATTGACATAGTGACTGCTGCAATAAGATTGAGTGTGTCAGAAAGTATGAGGATATAGCATAGGACAGGACAGGGTTCAGATTTGTTATTTATAGAGTGGCTGTGGGCTGTACTTGACTCAATGGCACCTACCAGCAACATACCTAGATCAAGAAGCTTTGATCCGAACAGTGCATGGCTTAAAATAAAGATAAGTACCTTAGGGCTATATCATTTCTCCACACTTGTTTAATCTGTATGCTGAACAAATAATTTGAGAAGCTGGACTTTACAAAGAAGAATGTGGTACCAGATTGGAAGAAGAGTCATCAGCAATTTGTGCTATGCAGATGACACGACCTCCTTTGCTGAAAGTGAAGAGAACTTGTGGACCTTACTGAAGGTCAAACACTACAATGTGAATTACATCTCAACATCAAGAAAACAAAGTTCCTTAGCACTGGCTTAACAGGCAATATCATAATAGATGGAGAAAAGATTGAAATTGCCAACCATTGAATCTTACTTGGATTCACAATCAGTATCCTTGGTACCAGCAGCCAAGAGATCAAGAGATGTATAGTAATGAGGAAGTCTTGTCAGGGACCTCTCCAAAGTCTCCAAAGTTTCAAGCCATGATCTTTCTAATCACCTGATAAGCATGTGAGAGCTGGATAATGAATAAAAATTACAGAAAAATAGAAAAAAGAAAAAAAAAAGATTTACAGCCTCAGAAGCCCAATGGATGAATGCTGTGAATCTAAATCAGTTCTGTGTCAGTGAGTTTGGCTTTTAGTTCAGCATAATTAAAGAAGTGGGAATAGTAGAATGGTTAAAGTGCTTGTCTGCCAACCAAAAGGTAAGTGGTTTAAACACACTAGCCAATTCATGAGGAAAAGGTGTGGAGTTTTCTTTCCCTAAAGATTTACAATATTGGAAACTTGGTGAGGCAGTCAGCAAATGCCACTATGAGTTGGAATTAACATATAACAGATTTTTATTTTTTTGATAAGCCATGTCTAGAGAAGCATACAGTGGAACCATTAAACAACAAGAATGTCACTTTAAAGACAGGTATTCCTGATACAAGCTATGGTATTTTTAATTGCTTTCTGTGTGTCTTAAAGTTGAATGATGAATAAAGATGACAGAATAATAATCAGTGCCTTTGAATTGTGCTGTTGAAAAACAATACTGAGTATCCCATGGACTTCAAAAATAACAAAAAAGTTAATCTTGGAGGAAGTACAGAGTGCTTCTTCAAGACAAGGATGGTGAAACTTTGGCTCAGATATTTTGGGCATGTTATTAGGAAGGGTCAATTTTTGGAAAAAAGTAGGTCAGTGAAAGAGGAAGATCCTGAAAAAGATAGATTGACACCAACTGCAATATTGGACATGATAGTGGTTGTGAAGATGTCTCAGGACAGGGTAAGTTTTGGTTTAGTTCTGCTGTTCATCGTGGTCATATAAGTCATAGTTAACTCAGCAACACCTGACAACAGTCACAACATATGAGGAAACTTAGATTTTGGCTTTTGTGTGCTAGACTTGGAGCACAATAGAGGTTAAGAACTGCTGTTGTGTATGGCTTCAAAATTTTAGTCCAGTTCTGGTTCTGTCACTGAGAAGCTTTGTAATCTTGGTCATGTTATTTTACTTCTCTGTGTCTGTTTTGAAAAAATGGTGATAATAAAGTTGGCAAAAGGACTAAAATTAGTTAATATTTGTAAAGGATTTAGCACAGAACCAGGGCATTGTAACAAAGTGTTAAGTAAGATAAACAAAGTTGAAATGAATAATGGGATACAGTTGGAGGATTTTGAAAATCATTCGTCTCATCTGTAGAAAATATATGTAGGAACACAGATTTACTCTTCAGCTAAAGATCCCTGTTCAATTGTGTACTCAACATCCATTCTTAAATGGTACAGAGCAGCAGTTTTCAAGTTTTCTGGATTCATGACTCTCTACACTCTGTAGTGAATATTTCTGTAGCCTGTCAACTGCCTACACTGTCTTTGACTACCATCCTCACCCCTGTTATTGCTACTGCTATGTGCTGTTGAGTTGGAACTGACTCATAGCTGACCCTCCAAAAGGTTTTCATAGACTGTAAATCACAGGAGAGTAGATTGCCCATCTTTTTTCTCTTGGAGCAGTTAATAAATTCAAACCACCTGCCTTTGAGTTGGCAGTGCAACTTCTTACTCATTCGGCCAGCAGAGCTCCATGCCTTTGTATCTATTCAGTTATATAGTCTTATCAGTTTATTATTTTCTTAAGAATTTGGGCCATCTTTTCAATTTTTTCCTTTTTAATCATTTCTTCATTTCTCTACAAGTCCAGCAAAATGTTTCTCATCCCTTTTGTGTTAAAATTAATTCTTGAAAACCACTTTTTATAAGTATAAATTCTGTAGAACTTAACATACAAAGCCTGCCCATCCTCCTGAGGAGCAT